ACTATTGTAATTACAAGCTTTCTTGCAACGACACAAACCTCCTTTTTGGTTGGACCCATTGACCACTACGGTGAATATCATTTCTATATTATTCATAGGATTAATTCGGCATAGGAGCTCTCTCTATCATCATCTGAGCTTTACTTCTGATAATAGATTTAATAGATCTCGTTAAGGGGTCAGAATCAAAACGCAAATGAAACCAAACACTCAACCGACACGACATAAATGCCATTCGATCCGGTTATGAGCAACAATTCTATGATTTGTAACGAAATTCGTACCCATTAAATATGAAAATACAAAGGATGAAATTTATTAAGCTCATCTGGCTTATGCGATTTGCTATAATTCTGACTATAATAGTTCACAGCTATTATCCTTTTATCATTAATAAGCATATAAGCATTTTCGTGGATAAAAACCACTGATACATAAACATTTTCTTTTATAGTAAGCAGTGGAAAAAAAAAATTACTTATTAAATGGAAATCCAAAGGTAAAAAAATTTGTCAGCTTCTATTGTAAAAATGAAGTCACACTGGAAATCTGGCAATTAGTTACAATTGCAGTTAGGAGAAATAAAATGATAAGAAATGATATGATAATAAGAGCTATTTTTTTTGTAAAGAGCAATTAGTTCTTTAATGTAATTTTGCGAAAATTACAAATTTACCAAAAATTTTCAAAATATAAGGAGAAACCTATTATCATTGTCGAAATGCAATTATAATAAGAAATTCCACGAAGAGGACAGATGTTATAGATTCAGCTATTGCCCTATGATGAATGTGGCAAAAATGAAATCTGCCTCATGGTGCTGGTGACCAGTAATTCCATCTCCATGTGACTCCCTGCCGAACGAGTCTATCCTAATAGCCAAAGAAACCAAACAAACTGGTAACGATGAATTAGCAAAAAACGAAATAAGAGGGAGCATCATTATGAAATAACTTCTGTAAACCGGCGATGCGCTATCTTCACGATTATCTTCACAATCGCCTATTTCTCGAATGATTTTAACCTATAAGAACCTATAAGAAGACATTAGAAGAAAGCAGAGTAATGGAAAATCTGCAAAAGAATTAAAATTAGTTAGAATTTCCTTAATACTCCGACCGGTTTCGTGATTTCTTGTTGATTTAATAAATAAATTGCAAGACAAGGTATGGTATCCCTCTTATTACACAAAATCATGCATATTAACTGGTTTTGCTTAATTTTCTAATTTCACCAAACTACTCAACTTTTGGCTTTCAGATACTTCTAAAATAATCTGTTTGGCTTACCCAGCTTTTTCTCTCTGTAAAATCGAGGACGGTCAGGTGATACGGTTATTTCGATTCGCGTATTTCCGACTTCTTGCTCAGTGATAAAATAAACTTTTCATTGAAAAAAATTTAGGAGGTGGTGGGGCCCACCTATGCTTCTATTCCCCGGCAAAAATTTCTAACAACGGCCAGTGAAACTAACCAGAAATTATGAGAAAATAAAATCAAAATATTATCGCCATTTCCCAAAAATTATTCAATTTTCATTAGGAATATCAGTACTCTTTCTATCCAAATTTTCACCAAATTTCACCCAAATTGTGGAACTTATTTGATTTTTTAAAAAAATCATTTCGGTAATGCAAAATGAATGCGTTCATGAATTCGAAATTACCATTAAGAGTCTTATATTCTATATTTATGTCTTATTCTATATTTGTTTTATTTGTGTACTTCCACAGACATATTTAAAAAGTCATTATGAGATATGAATTAAAACGTCTTGGCTCCTGATCTCATCTTTAAAAAACTCGGGTATAAGGGTGGCAGTGGTTAATTTCTTTATTTCTTCTTATTTTAATGATCTGAAATGAAATTGTGCAAAGACAACAACGAATATTCAGAAAAAGGTGATATGTGGAATTTAATATTTAGAACTAACAAAAGTTATTTCGCTCCGTTCCGTGGCAAAAGTGAAAGGTGAAAACTATTTATAGATGATTTTTTTGCAGCTGTGATGATCGATCAACACTGGCAAAATACAATGGGCACTGGCCAACTGTAATTGGTGGGAAAATAAAAATATCACCAAAATAGACCTTAAAAAACCTCTAAAGAATATTCACTGGTTTATTCAATTTTAGGAAACAGGGAAGAATGGAGATAAAAATAAAAAATTGATAAAAAATCGAGGTTGAAAGGGAATTACAACAAATGGTTTAATTTGTAGGTAAACTTTTCTTTATTAAGGATTTTCCCGTTAAACTGTAATTCAGAATGATCCTGTTCATTATTAAGAAAAAGGCGATACTTCGAAATTCCGAAATAAGAACTTCACATGCAGCAAAAAGCTAATTAATGGCCATCACCAATTGCCGTCTCGTTGGTCACGATACTCAATTTGCTTTAAATTTAACAATAAGCAGAAAAGACTAATCTGATTGATATCAATAACTGTAGAAATGGTTAAAAAAGTTGCTCACTGTTTCTGGTTGAAAATTCTCTTCGCTGCTTGTCGAAACGGTTAAAAAATTGCGTCATGGAATCATTGCTTTCTTAAGGTGCAAATCGAACCACCGATTTATATAATAACTTATATAATAATCTACCCATTTACTACACATGCCATACAGTTTTTATCAATTTAATAAGTTAACAGCAAAATTATTTAAAATAAAGAGGAAATCAACAATTATTTCAATCGTTCTGATAAGCAGAAATTCGCTAGAAAGAAAATCCTTTTGCGAGGTTTAAGATGGTCATGATGGTGGCTACAGTAATTTTCGATTTCATTTTTTAAGGTATTTTGGATCATAACACCGTAGAAAATTCATATCGTCCCATTCCATTAATTTTCCTTTATTCGATTGAAAACATTGGGTAGAAAAAGAAAAAAATGATAAAATTAATTATCAGATTTCACTTTAGTGCCACTTTGACATTTAATAAGAAATTTGAAAAGACAGATTTCAAATACTTTGAAAATTTTTCTTTTGTATGATAATCCATAGAGTTTTTCCAGTTAATTCGATTTTGAATTTGCTACTATGTTCATTATTTTAGAGGATTGTTCCTATATTCACATATAAAATATAACGAATTGATGAATCTTGATGAGGCGCGCAACTCATTAGCTCGCTGCTCTCATTTCGAACAACGACACCGATCGAGTTCCACTCCAGCACGAATAAACCCGTCCCTCAAAAAGTCTAGCTAATGCCGGTCACCCACTTGTATTTCCACCTCTAAAGTCTCTGTTTGATACGACAAGCCAACAGTGAAGCAAGCCTAGCCGAGTGATCGCTCTTCTTGAAGAACACCAGTAATCCCATCTCAAATGATTCTTTGGCGACAATTCACCTCACTTATAGCCAAACGAGCGAATTTAACCAGAAATGGTGAATCGAATGGTCGAATGAGAAGTGTCCTAAAATTCTCATTTAAAAAATATAAAAAAGAAGAAAACCTATGAGAATGATTATTGTTAACTATCGAAAAAATTACGATGACTGAATTAAATATTTTGTATGGCAAAGAATGTAAGAAGTGTGTAAACAAAAATGAGTCTAAAACATTGCTTCTCAAATATTCTTTCTCCTTGAGAGTGCAGTAGAAACAACGAATATGCAGAAAGGACAAGGTTCAAGCAAAACCAGTGAAATATGTCGCGAATATGGAATGGAAGGGTGGTCGAAAGGCGAGAACGTTCGATCGCCTACTCCGAGATCGCCTGGCAAAAAGAAACCCGCGTAGCGCAGGCCACCCATCTCCCTTTCGTGAATGGTTACTTAATTTTTAAAGAAGCAATTATGAGCGAGTATAAGTCAAAAGTAAGTTTTTCTGAAATCATCAACTCAAATGAACAAGCATTTTTCATTTCGTTGCTATTCTGGCAATATTCCTATTTCGAATCCACAAAAATTCATGGAATTTCTTTGATCACCGTTATAAAACGTAAACTTCCAAAGATCAAGCAACTCGAGTTCAATCGCTACCCTTTGATTTGACAGAAACAGAGCTTCGCTCAAATTTAAGCGTTGGCTAGTGCTTTCTAAGCCAACTCTATCTTTGCTTCTAATAAATCATTCAACAGGTGCAGCCAAATCGGAAATCAATTCAACGGATCAAACTGAGATTTACTCACCAATCAATCAATAACGATCAACTTCATTCGAGCAGAACACTATTAAAACATTAAACACTCGCAAATCAAAAAGCAAAAATCTGGAATTTATGAAACTTGGATTGCAGTGAATAATAATCGATGAATCTTTGCATCGAAATTGATTAATTAATTAATTCTTATTTTAATTAATTTACTTTTATATTTCCAAAATTTTCAATTTTTCTATTTGCGAATAAATAAATTCCTAAAAATAAATTTTAATAACTTTCGACGAGAATTCCCTCACAAATGATTGAATTCGAAAGAAACTCTCTCGTTAAATCCAATTAGCAAACATTTAATTCCATTTTATGTAAACTAAAATAACAAAGACAAACATTTGTCGCTTTTACAGATTATTGCTAAAACTATTGCATTTGAAAAGAAATTCTCTATTGCCGCAACGAACTTCCACCATTCGCGGGCTCGGAACCCAACGCCAACCAACAATTTCTTCAAACATTACAGACACCACCGTCGTCAAAGTGCTACTAGCTGATTTGAGCTGTCCGACAATTAGCGGAGGGTTGAATTTCCTCTAAATATCGGATAGGTGGCTTTCTTCTCGAATTGAAATTGTTGGCGAATTTTGAACCCCTGATGATTTTACTGGTCGTTGCCACTGATATTAATGGGATTTGGGATAAAAGCGATAAAAATTATGGATTACCACTTGCTGAGAAGCTAAACTGCAAAAAGTCCACAAAATAGCGTCAAAATACTTTTACTAATTCTTTTATTATATTTGTTGCCCTTTTTTGGTGTTTTCAGGGGATTTCCTCTGATTTAATTTAAATAAATGGTTAAGTGGTATTAAATTAAGCTTATCGGAAATATTTTTTGCGATGTCCAAAACTTTAATTTGGGATAATGGCGCGAATACGATTAAAATTGGATTTATAAGCGATCAGCAACCAAGGTTATTTCAATAAATTTCTTAAATTCTAAGCAAAATTTTTGTAAAAATGGAAGTCTTAGGGAATATTTTGCTCTATAAATCGTCGCTAAATTTCTTAAGTCTTAGAGTTCTGAAAGGTCATTGGGAGTTGCCGTGGCTGAGGGATATATTCCTTCGTCTGAGCACAACTTTCATTCTTATCCTTTGGCTGTAACAATCTTAGTGAAGCTACCATTAAGGTGAGGCATCAAAAAAAATTATTTCCAATGATTTCAGTAATTAACAAGAGAAATCGACCTCTAAAATCTTGCAAAAATTTTCCAAAACTTCGTTGTCTTTCACTCTGCAATGGCTCTACTTTCGGAATTTCTGAGAATACCTCACGTCTTTATGCTTCTATCCTCAGGCTAGTTTCAAGCCCAAAGGCTTCTAGTTGTCCGCGAAAGCCAATTCAGAAATCATTAGTTGAAGAAGGAGGTTCAAGATGTTATCATCCACTTAAATTTTTTTGCTTAGAATGGCTCAATGAGCTGTTGCTCTTATTTCGGAGTTCTGCTCCCGGCACGAGTAAACTTGATTTTCGAAAATTCGAGTAAAACTGGCGATTATACACTTCTGTCCCCAAGTGACTCCCTGACGGGACTTGACTGATCCAACAAGCTACCGGAATCAACCTACCCAGAAACGGTGAGGGTCCTTAGAAAAAAAGTTTTTTTCTGGTTAAAATTCGATGTAAAATCTAAAATATTTTTTTTATTACTTTTTATTTTTGCTACTGTTTTATTTTTTTATTTCCACATTCATTTTATTTTCATTTTGTTTTGATTTTTTCTTTGTTTCAAATTTTAAATTTTATTTTATTTAATTCTTATTTTTAAACTTTGTATTTAATTTTTAATTTTATATCGAACGTATTTTTATAATTCTTCTCACTCGTTCATTCCTTCTATTTTTATAATTTCCAATATTTTACTGTATAATTTTGATAAACATTTTCAAAAGTTTTATTTAAGAATTATACCAAATTGTGTTGTGAAAGCAAAAAGTGAACGAAAAAGGGTTTATGTCGGCGATGAATTGAATGAATGTCGTGATCATTCTAGCTTATTTTTTTTATTACCAGCTGAAAAAGGATATATTGGTTTTTTTTTCAATATATTATACTTTTATATTAATAATATTAATTCATTTTCCTTATTTCAGCAAAATTGATTTCGCATAAATTTTTTTGAAAATTAAAAAGTCTATAAAGAAACAAAAAGAAAAATTGGAAAAAATTGGAAATTTTATAATACAAAAATGATGTTGATGATAATCTTTTATCTTTCTTGCAGTGAACTGGGATATTCAGCAAAAAATTTGGGATCGAATTATCGGAAAAGATGTTTTTGATGTAACACCATCAGATACAAAACTCGTTTTAACAGATCCGATTTATAATGTTCCTGCAATAAAGGATTTTTCATATGAAATTCTGTTCGAACACCATTCATTCCATTCGGTTGCTAAAACAAGTGGTTTGTTTCATTATAATCTTAAAAAATTTTTGACTAGATTACTTGCTAGGAATTGATTTTAATCTCGAGTTTTTATAAAAATTTTTATTTTTATTTTTTTGGAGATGAAAAATTTTTCGTACGAATATTTGTTTTTTGTTTTTGTATTTATGAGAGCACAACAAAATTTTTTCAGCAACTTCGCTAGTAGCACTGGCTGATACGGTTTCTTCACAATATGGGAACGAATTTTGTTGTATTATTGTTGATTCTGGCTATTCTTTCACTCATATTGTTCCTTATTACAAAGGAAAGGCTGTTCGATCTGCCATTGTTAGGTCAAATTTAATTTAATCAAACTTCAAGAATGAAATCTGCGAGTGTCTGTGCGAAATTTTCTGATTATATTTAGCTTTACAAATTTAGGAAGTTTATTTATTCCATTGCTATTTTGTTATCTTGTTATTTTTTAGGATCGATATTGGTGGAAAAGCGCTGACGAATTTGCTTAAAGAATGGGTGTCATATCGGCAGTTGAATGTTCTTGAAGAAACGTACGTGATGAATGAATGTAAAGAAGATGTTTGTTATGTAGCTGATGATTTCCAACGGCACATGGATATTGCCAAGTATTGCTTTGCAAAAAAAAAAAAAAACGGGAAACTGAAAATAAATTTGGAATTGTCAAAAATATTTTCTTGATTAAGGCGTCATGGCAAGGAGAATTCGATTATTAGAGAATATGTGCTACCCGATTTCGTTTCACATCATCGTGGTTTTATTTGTGAACCGAGCAACTGCAATAAAGAAAATAATCAAAAACTTACGGTGAATGTAGAAAGATTTGCTGCACCAGAGGCTCTTTTCAATCCATCAGACGTAGGAATTCATCAAATGGGTATTCCAGAGGCACTTGCGTATTCTGTTAGTTTATGTCCAGAAGGTAATTAAATTATTATAAATATTTTGATTTATTTTATAAATTTTTCATTACTTCTAATTCTTTGGTAAAAGAAACAGCTTATGTTTAATTTTAATTTTTCCCATAGGACTTCGTATTTTTACTCAAAAATGTTGCAAAAACTGTCATTTATTCTGTGAATTCACTTTTTCTCTTTTAGAACTTCACCCATATTTTATTCATATATTATTAATATCCTTTTAGATCTCTTTTTGTCCTTTAATTTCCTTTAATTTTAACCTTTTTCTTCTTTTCCAACCTTATTATGAAATCTATTATGTCCTATCAGAAACGCTTTAAAGGCTTTGTTAGGTTTCCTTAATGGTACTTTGAATCTTTTTTCTGCTTTCCCGTTTTTAATCAGTAATTATCTTATGCCTATCTTCTAATTCTTTAGATATCATCACTGATAAATTTCCTGAACTGTTTCCTCAAAATTCTTTTAATCCCGCTAAACATTTTATCAGAAGGCCATGTTCTTTTATCAAAACAAAATAACACCTCGTCAAACTTTTTTCATTTATTTCATTTATGTTCTTTATCTGCTCCATATGCCATGATAATATCATGCACCATTTATTGTCCCGGATATAGCTGATTCACTTATCGAGCCATATGTTTATAATTGTTAACCACCAACAGAAGAGGAAATAATCGCTCTTATCCATAAATTTAAAAATAAAACTCCCGAAAAAAACCAACTTTGAGCCGAATTCTTCAAAATTGTCCATTGTTCTCTCACACCTTCAGCAAATATACTCTCTGGTAGGAAGGAAAAAATAATACAATTAGAACAAAGCAGTTCTGTTCCTAATTCCCAAGAAAGATGACAGGAAATGCTATGGCAATTATCTAGGAATCAGCCTACTAGATGTCTCTGCGAAAATTTTTGCTTCCCTTTTATTTAGTAGACTTATGGCAAAGTACGGAATAGTAGACTGCACCCTAATCAAACTGAATCCAAACCGGAGTGCGGTTGTGCTGACCAGGCATTCACGTTAAGAAGAGTGTTGTAACATCGCTTTAGATATCCACTATCACATCCACTATCACATGTCGACTGCGACTGTCTTCGATGCAATTAATAGAACCGCATTTTGGAGAAAATACGGTTAATAGAATCGTATTTTGGAACGCGGCGATGTTCCAGGAAAGATCATTCGACTCATGTATTACCAGCATGCATTGGTAAAACTGGTATCCATTAAGGCTGCCCTACAGTATTCAACTGGGCGATAGACTGGATAATGGATATCCCTTTTCGGCACATGTAACTGTGTAAGTCAATCCAGTCGTATCCCAGATCTTGAATAGCTATTGATGTAGTTCTTTTTGTTGTCAGTTATGAAATGCAAATAATACTAAATAATACTAAACATCGCTCCAGCACCTGCAGCTAGGATCGGACATCAATCAACAATTAAATGAAACGAAAGGTTTTTGTTTTATATTGAAATCTATTTCCCTATTTTAAATATTTTAAATCCACTCTAACCCCAAATGCCAGGCAAAAGACGAAATTACTTGGATAACGTTAGGTAAAAATACGTTCTTCCGGTATGATGATGCTTTTGTGGAACCGTGGTCCTATCACCATGAAAACCATAAAGTCTGCGTCTATTATCTGTATTTCGCTCGATCTCGCCATATGGCTATGAGACATGGCCAGTGAGAGTGGAGGATATTAGGAAGTCATCTACCTTTGGCCATTCATGCCTAAGAATACAGTTTACTGGTCCACTGAGTGGATAAAATTTCACATGTTGCATCCACTTTGTTGAAATACATTAATAATAATAGAATAGAAATACATTATTAATAATACCATCACGTCGCCTTCGCTAGTTCGCTAGCTAGTTAACGCACATTCTTTGTCGCCTACCAGAAGAGTTGGCACATATTTCGTTACTTGCTAACTATATGATGGATAGTATCAAAAGCAAAATGAGCTCCTGGACTAATACAGTCATGAAAGATTTTGAACGTATAAGTGGGTCAGCAATATAGGAGCCAGCGTAACCGATAAGGGCTATTAGAAGAAGATATATGCGATGTTAATTCGCCTACATTGCTTGCACTAAGAACATCGGCACAAAGCGTCGAATCTTTTAGGTCTTCGCCTATCATAAAAATTGGTATCACAAGTGGTGAAAAATATTCAAAATCTGGACTAATACATATGGTTGACCCAGCGATATACGAGCTTATGTGGTACAAAAAGGAGTGGTTTCATTTATTTCAAGAATAGTAATTTGCCAGTGGATGAAACCAACAGTGAGCCATTAAAACAAAAAAGTTAACTAAAGTTACTCAGTAAAAAAGTTAACGAAGTTAACTCGTCATTATAGCTTCGTATACTGTGGTACGAAAGTTCTACTTTTTGTTAAATCCACTAACGTTCCAAGAAATTCCATCATGTTGTGTCGTTCCATCATGTTATAAGCATTTGTTATGCCTCAGTGCCTGTAACTTTTATGGAAATTGCTTTCAAATTCCATTAAATTTTTTTCTTTGAACTCTTCTGTGGCCGTATTCCGTAGTAATCATCCTTGCATTTTATATCCTTGCATTTTTGCATTTTTGTTTTTTCTGTACTGTTACGCTGTGTCACCCATCACCATTTTTTTTTATCTTAACGCCTCTTTAAACCTCACAATACATTTTTGCAATAGCAGCGGTTGCAAAATTTCACAATGAAAATTTATATTTGGAGAGAATTATATGAATTTAGTGTGTATCAAAGTAGTATATCAATTACAAAACAAGTTTGAGAAAATACCGAGGTGAGGGCAAATATCAAGGCTTAAAGCAGACAACTGTCAGTGTTCTTTTTACTAATTTTGTTGCAGTTTTGCAGTTTTTTGAGGAGTTTTCGTTTCTGGTCTTCGATTGTTCCAAATTTTCTATTTAAATTTTTTCGCTAATATTTAACTTTGCAGCAATGCGTGGTCGTTTGTTCAATAATATAATATTAATTGGTGGTAATTCCCTCTTTGCTGGTTATCAGCGACGGCTGTTTGCTTTTTTTTTTAATTTTATTTTCTAAATTTATAATTTCTAAATTGAAATTTATATTATTACGTAATATTATTCGTTTCTCAGCTAAACGATACAAATTAATAAAAAAAAAAGAATATCAGCTGGAAATTTTTTTTTTGGATTACATTTTCATAGTTTTATTTCTCAGTTTTTTAGAAAAATTTTTAATAAATTATTTTTCAGTAGCTTGGAATTGCGTTCTCACGTTGATGATATATATAACATAGGTTTTCGTGATGTGCCTAATCCAATAACTCATGCTTGGCAGTGTGGACGAGATGCATTCTGTGCTAATGTTTCAAAAGATAGGTTAGTTAATTAATTAAATTCATTCATTCATTAATTTTTTCCAGCTTCAGTTTTTTTTGAGTTAACTTTCGATATATTCTCGTCCACTTTACTATTATTTTTTCATTTATTTTTATTATTAATTACATATTTTTTTTAAATGATTTTTTTTCTCTGTGAAATTTAGATTCATTGAAAGAAAGATGTAGAATATTTTTAGTTGAGGGATATTCTCAACTTTTTTAAATATTTTTTATTTTTTATATTTTATTATTATTTTATTAATGTTTTTTAGATGTTTCATATTAATTTTGACATTGTTTTTGCCAATTTCATATCATATTGTTTTATTTTTTTCCTTTGTTGTAGATTCGTAACTAAAGAGGAATATAATGAATATGGCATAGATATTTGTATTAAACGGTATTTTAAATTTTTTGAAGATTGACTTTGATTCGAATTTTGATGTCCAAGATTTATTATTTGTTATATGATGATCTCATAAAGAATTTTCTTATGTTTTTAATATTGCTATTTTCAACTTTTGGAAATAATTCTTAAATTTTGAAATTTTGCATAATTTTGCATATAATTTCCTCAGTTTAACCAAATTCGCAATATTATTATATACATGCCCAAAATCTGCCATATTTTAAAAAACCGTCCTCAATCGCTATCAAATACTCTCTTGATACCCGAAATCCTTTTCATTTCCTTTAGTTTTACTCTGAAATTATTAATAACATCAGCTTAAACACCTCATGAATCTATTTTATACCATATTTATCTCTCCCTACCAAAGCCTTTCGATCTTATATTCTTTTAATATGCTCCAAAGCGGCTTTGTAGTCTGTTGACGTTTCGCAGTCTGCTGTATTATTTTGCCACAATGTATTAGCTACTTTATTTTAAACTTTTTTCTGCCATTTTAACTCTTTTAAATCCAGTTTTAATGCTTCGTAAATAGGCTCATAACTTTTTTTCTACCCTTTTTTCTGTTTGTTTTATTTATTTTCACTTTCTTCTGTTTGTTTTTCGTGAAGTGATGTTTGAAACATTACAAATTCCAGATTTAATAATATTTATATGTAATTTTTAAACTGAAATAGAAATTGATTTTTTGAAGCTACTATTTATCTTAAAAAAATAAAATATTCTATAAAGTGTAAAATGAAGTACACAAAGAGAAATTACAAAAAATCAAGAGCAGAATAAAGACAATCACCCTGAAAATGAAGATTAACGAGAAATTTATGCCTGGTATGGTACTGGTAATATTTTTTTACCTGGCTGGATTTTTATCAGCATCAGCCTTAAGTCTCAGTTAATTGGAGTCCTTTGCTCTTTTTCGTCAATAGATTACATACATTAAATTCATGTTCTAGTAAATATAATAAGGAAAATGGTGTAGAAAATATTTTGTCGCGGGATAAATTGGTGGTATTTGTTTTTGCAGAAGTTATGATCCACTTTTCACAAATTTAATTGAGACTTTAATATAATTGGTTTTAATTCTTCGCCTGTTAATAATTCGATCAATTTGTATAAATGATAATTCTGCTTCTTCTGATTCCTTTTCTAACAGCTTATTACTGGTTTGGTTGGGTCCAAGGACAACGTTTCCAAGCTGCGCCATCTGACGCAATCGTCTGCAGTAACAGAAACCATCCCTTTCTCCATCGTCTCAGTCCATATATTGCTGGCGTTATAAAATCAAGTCCTGGAGCGCTTCCAAGTATTGACTATAAATGGGAAATCGTCACTTTTTTCTACTAAGGCAAGATCCGAAAATTGGAAAAGTTCTTTGCGACCTAAGTTACGCTTTTACAAAACTGGTCTTAACATGTGCGCGATAATAATGCTCTTTCTTCTTGATCAAGATGAGTTCGTCTCCGTCCATTTATAGATTTATTTCATTATAAATCGTTCTGCAACGACTCATTTTTGTTTTCATGCGAGCGTTGCTTCCGGCTTAGCTGCAATGCATAATTGTAAAAATATAGGCAGTATATAAAATATATAAAACACATTGCCTTTATTTATTTATAGATTTAAAGATATAAAACAGAAACAGAAGCTTCAGTTAATTATTCAGAATCCGACCACTCGGTTTCCGAAATCGCTATAAGAAAACTTTGAAAGAAAGTTTCAGAAAAGATGATAATGATGTGATTGGGTGATAACTTATGCTATGGAATACTGTAGAATTGCTTAAAATTGCTTAACCGCAATAGCGGAGGGTGAAAATTTAGACATTGAACAAAAAAAGGATTATAGAAGAAGCATTGTCATTTCGCGTCAAAAAATGTGAAAGCAGATATGACTAATATAAGGTTAAGAGTAGCAATGAAGACCATAAGATGCTATAAAAGCTTTGAGAAATATCAAATTGGTGTTTTTCTTGGAGTCGATCGCCTTCTAATCGCCGTTATCACCCCTAAAGCTAATACCTTCCCACTAACCTTCTCCCCGCTTGCCCCGAAGTGATGGCGTTACGGATCTATTTACTTTAACCTCATTTTGTCGCCCTAACGACCAGTGGAAACTTGCAATGCACTTTTGACGAGTACGGAGGGAGGCTTTGTGCTTTGAATCAGAGAATTCTGCAAGTCCTCTGCGAGCTGTTTGGTTGCAATAGATGAAGAGAATAACTGAGAATGGATTAAACAGCAGTTCTGAGGTGAAGTAAATAGAAACGAACGTAACAACAACTCTTCACTCTCATAAAATTTTTTAATAAATAGCAAATATCGCATAAATGCTTTGTTTCTCCGTTTTTACAGCACTGTGCTCATTTTATTTCTCTTACTTGTTTCGAAAATCTGAGAGCAAAAACAACAAATTGTTAGTGATTCCTTTGCTTTCCTAGTTTCTACGATCTATTAAATTTGCGTCAGACGGTGCGCAGTCTTTATTTTCCACGTTCCGTTTCCATGTTCCATAATTCCATGGAAGAGCCAACCGATTAGCCGATCAGTTTTTTTGAGCTTGACAATGGTAACGATTCAATCCATGTTATTATGCTTTTTCTATGCTTTTAAAACTCTACTGGAAAAAATGAGTGCTTTCACGCAGAAGGCATCGCAGACGATGGAAAAAGGAATGGCTTCCATTACTGTCGACCATGGCATCAGATCGCGCCGCTTGGAACCGTCTTACCCAGCCTAACCAATAATGGTGAGAGCTGTTAGAAGAAGAAGAAGGCATCGCAATGAGTGGCTTGGAAGCAACTCAGCCAGTCAACCACTAATGATAAGAGTTGTTAGGAGAAGAACTGCATTAATTACATGTTAATTTATCAAACCATAAACTAAGTATTTGCAATTTTCATAGATGGCTACCAATTTTTTTATCAAAAAAGCTTCATATTATTTATTGCGCTGTTAAATTCTATAAGGCTCCTGGAAGGAAAACATGAACTGGTCCTCTGCGATGATCATTAAATTCAGTTTTTTTTGGGGGCCAGTATTGGCTAAAAGAGGTAGTAGGGGGTGGGGGTGGGGGGAGGGAGAGAGAGGGGAGTGGTGGGGGTGTTTCGGCATTCATTGCGTTAAATATGGTGAGGGTTATGGAAGATAGTATTGGATGAGTTATATTAATTAGTTTCAGTCCAACAATGAAATTTTCTCTCCGATTTATCATTCGTTGTCATATAATTTTGTTGCTAGGAAATTTGCCGCAAAGATTTCGGAATTACTTTTCATTTATAAACATGTTCGTTGTGGAATCGATTTTACTAAATTAATGCACATTCTGGCCTTACTTTAGTCTTTTTCTTGTTAACTTTTGATTACTCTTATTATTGCACGTGGTTTACAAGTTTTAATCGTTTTAATGATTTTGGAAGTTTATTTGCTTAAGCCAGTAAAGCCAAACAAAAATTAGATGGTTATCATTTACCATTTCTAGTTAGATTAGATTCGGGAGTGAGAATATTTTCAGATCATGGCAGATAAATATAACGGAATTTCAAGAGTGTTAATAAGGGTATTTGTTGACTTGATTTGAGGAGTACAACAGTTAGTGCCATAGTGGTGTCGTTTTTTTATATTAATTTTGCGGTGCTTTTTGATGGATTCTGTGGAATTTTTTTTTTATTTTAATTTATATGGTAAAAAAGCATATGAAAAGCATTAATCATTGATCATAAATTAAAGAAACGAAAATGAAATGGAAAAAGGAGTGGTGATAGCTTAAATTTTTATCAGTTAATAATATCAATTTGCTAGGAAGGAAGTTATTTTCTTATAATAATGTGGCCTTGGAGATAGCCTAGGATTCAGTTAATTATTTTGTATGTTCCCTTCCCTTGTATGTTCACTGTTCTGTGAATTTCTTTTGAAAATTTTTTTCATAAATAAGATAATCCTAATATAATACTGCTTTTAGATTTTTTGGAAGATTTTTTTTTTCATTTATAACAGAGCTCCTAATGTCTGCTGGTCCTATACTTGAAAGAAATCAAGGTGAGCCAAATTTTGTAAACTTTTGAAATTTTTTGAATTCAGGATGTGTTGGAGTATTTTTCCATCTTGAATCATAATTTCTGATAGAGTGAAGAATGATACTTTTGAAGATATAAGAAAATATATTAATTGAATGCAGAATGTAGTATAGTTCAATAATAATTGTTATTAATGAATTTATAAATTTTAAGAAGTAGTGAAAATTTTTCTATTTAGATGCGACCATATATGTTGGTGGTTTGGATGAGAAAGTTACCGACCCAATTTTATGGGAACTATTTGTTCAAGCTGGGCCTGTTGTATCTGTAAATATGCCGAAAGATCGAGTAACCAGTTCGCATCAAGGGTAAGTTAGCCTTATAAATTTGATTTGTAAATGATTTAAAATATGGATCCTTAACCTGGACCTGTGAATCTTAATGGGAAAAGTTTTTTATTTTCATTTATGTTTAACTGAAATTTATAATTCTATATATTTGCGAACTTTTACGAATTAGATATATCTTAAGTATTAGTATCGCTAATTTGTCGGAATTTAGACATTTTCTCGTCATATTTTTTTAAAGAGCCATCGATTAAGTTTGCTCCGGAGCAGATCAGGGAGGTTTCAGCACCACCGAGATCACATTTTATTTTCTTTTATTTATTTTTTTTATGCTTTTAAGAATATTTGGGAAAATTTTGGGAAAAAAATGAAAGTGTATGTAGGCTTCATCGGATTATCGGAGATAGCATCCATTCAAAAAATAATTTTGAAAAGGATAGTGATTAGTTTGTAATTTATTCATATAAATATAAAAATTATAGGTTTTGGCAATAATTTTATGTTTTATTTGTTTAAGAAAAATTAATAATCGGTTGACGGGACATTTTTTTTAAAGAGCCCTCACCCTACAGGTTGGACTCGTTCCGCTGGTTTGTCTTGCAAAACAAATAGGGGGTTCCTTGGTGATAAAAGTACAGGGGGTTCTCGGCATCACTCGGATTTTTCAACAGATTTACTCTGCTACGAGTAGAGCCCCAGCATCGGCGCTTGGAATTGAGCAAACAACCATTCGATCTCCAAGGTTGAGGAGACATGCAGGAAGACATGTTTTTTATCCATAAAACATAGAATTTTTTTTTGAAGAATTGTTAAAAGCTACGAACAGTAGTAGCAATAAGTAGATAGGCATAGGTAAATAGCATGTAGATCCAAAGGACCCTTTGCCAGGTTTGGAAATGACTTCTCTTGAGCTTGATAAAGAAATGATTTCCAATTTTTTTTCAAATTGAACATTTTTATCATAAAAAATTATCCAAAATAGTCAAAAATAAGTGGATTCAGCATCCACCTGCAATTCTTTAAGCAAATTATTACGTCAGGAGCTGCCGAAACTCCTTGCTAAATTATTGATTTATCCGAATGAGGATTTTCTCTTTAAATTATTGGGTTTTAAGAATTATTGAATGATTGCATTGCATTGTGAAATCTTGATTTGGGAAATAATGTTACGCCTTCTGCTCTTATTTTAGCTAATGCTTCCAGGTTGAGGGTTACTGGTATAAATAAATAAAGAATTTGTGTGAAAAATTTTTTATATTTCTAAGATTTTTAGCTTCGGCTTTGTTGAATTTATGGGCGAAGAAGACGCAGATTATGCGATCAAAATTATGAACATGATAAAGCTATACGGAAAGCCTATCAAGGTCTTTTGAATTTCCAAATTTTTTTAAAGGTCGAAGGTTTTTTAAAATTCGGCAATTCTTTTAACAGCTACTGGCTGGGCTGGCTCCATTAGGCAGTTGAATTGTAAATTGAATTGTTTTTTCAATAATAGTTTTTAGTCGCTTTCTTTTATTATCTTAAATTTTTTATGGAATTCAGGTGAATAAGGCTTCAGCGCATGAGAAAAATATGGATGTTGGTGCTAACGTATTCGTTGGCAATCTTGATCCAGAAGTTGATGAAAAATTGTTATTTGATACTTTTAGTGCATTTGGTGTTATTCTTCAGGTTTGTAATCTTTATCAGGAAATACGAAAATATGTTCCTCATCAGCGCCATTTCTTAAATTAACTACAAACAAAAGCTAAAAATTTAAAAATTTAAACTGAGTAAAACTAGATTGGCTCAAAAATAGATAATGGAATTTTTCAATTCCATTATCTATTTTTAACTCCATTTATCTAACTCCATTTATAAACAAAGGAAAGAGTATGAAAGGATAAGCGGCAATTCATTTTAAAATTATTTATCTAATAATTAAGGTACCCAAAATAATGCGAGATCCAGAAACTGGCAATAGCAAAGGATTCGCTTTCGTAAATTTTGCTTCCTTTGAGGCTTCTGATTCAGCAATCGAAGCTATGAATGGGCAGTTTTTATGTAATCGTGCTATAACTGTTAGCTACGCGTTCAAAAAAGATACTAAAGTATTTGTCTTTTAAGCTTTATCATTTTTTTTGCGTAATACTTATCCTAATAATCAGAAGAGCGATAATTATGATCTAACCTATTATTTATTTAAAGAAATTTGTATTAATATCAAATTTTTTAGGGTGAGAGACATGGAACTGCTGCAGAAAGAATGTTGGCGGCCCAAAATCCGTTATTTCCATCAGACAAGCCGAACCAAATGTTTTCTGACGGCAAGATGCCCATACCAGGCTTATTTCCACCTCCAATACCTTCTGTGCCCCCAATCCCTCCCCCTATTATGCCTCCTCCGATAAATGCACCACCGCCTGGTATATTTCCACCACCACCTCCACCTATGCCAACACCCGGTGCGACTCCGATTCCTCCTCCACCACCACCACCAGCACCGCCTACTCCAATGGGCACGCCTCGTCCGCCACCTCCGATAAGTGGTTCGTTTTCTTATTTTGTTTTTTATTTATATGATCTTATGAACTTTTAATATGATAACTTTTATATGATTTTTAATTTATATGATCTTATGAAGATTTGTTTTTGTAGCAAAACAAATCTTCTTCCAGCTATTTCTACTTTGGCTTCTTAGATCTCTTAATTTAAACAATCTTTTGCGATAAGAAATTAATTGGTTCTTATCATTTCTGGATGGGTCCATTAGTTCAATTCTACTGGCTTTAGCGTAATGAGACAGTTTCGCGTGAGAGCCATTAGATATAGATATAGATTAGATATAGAAATATAGGTGGCTTTCCAGCTCTTCTCGGATTTATGTCTGGTTTACTCCAGTTAAATAATACTATTCTTTTTCTTCTTGAATACTAATGCAGTTGCCTTTATAAATTTTTTTTTTCAGCGCCTCCCCCGATGTGGGGAATGCCTCCTCCACCACCGGTTACTCCCAGTATTCGTGCAGCAACAACGCCGACTCCTACTCCTCCTCCACCGCCAGTTCGTCCTTATCGAGGAGTACCACAAATGTTTCCACCTCCACCACAGAATCGACCTCCCTTCCCTGTTCCTCCTTCCAGCGCTACACGTATGATAAGGCCTCCACCGCCACCTCTTATGCGACCAGCTCGACCTCCACCTCCTCCTTCTATTTGAAAATTAATTATAAATATTCAGTTTTATATTTTTTAGAATTTTTTTATAAATATATTTTATGGTATATTTTTACTTGTTTCGAAATTCATATTTATGGATTGAACTATTAATATGCGAAATGTTCATTTTCTTCTGAGTGTTTATTTATTTTGATTGTTTTCAAAATGGCATTTTTTTTTGTAATCATCATTAGTACTAAGGCAATTTATTACTACAGTATTTCTAGGTTTCTCGATGCTTTCTGATGCTTTCTTTCTTTAAAGTCTCTTCTGACTGTTTTAGTCCATGTTTTGACTGGTTCTTCTCGATTTTGATCATTGACCTTACCAAATAATCAATCATTTCTTGCGAGGGAAAACATGGCTTGACCTGTGTGACGGTGCTGTTAACATTAGTGACATTAGTGCATTTGAATAAAGGCAATTATGAATTTTATCTGTTCGGCAGCAGGTGATATGTGCCTTAACAGAAGTAATCAGAATAGATGGTTTGATATCCTCCAGTCTTATTGGCCACGTTTCGCATATTTATAACAAAAATTTCATCAAGCAACGCGTTTCAGTATAAATTTTTATTTTTTATTTGTTAATTCTGTCAATAATAATAATAATTTGTTATCTAATAATAATATGACTGTATAAAAGTGACTATCACATGTAATTTACATTTTTCTGTGCATTTATATATAAGGAAGGAAACTTAAAATTGTATAAAAATTCTTATTCCCAAAGAAATTCAGCATCGAATTCAATAAGTTGAAAGATAAATGAAATTTTAAGATCGCTTCGATTTGTGAAATTTTGTGTGTAATATTTAGATATGTTGTCTGAGTCGTAAAATATTTGTATATATAATACTTATTGGACAGGATATTGATTTGAAATTCTTATCTTTCTTTTGGTTTTTTCTTTAAGAACTAGGCAGCAAAAAATTGATAAGGTTGCTGATAAGCGGTAACTGTCCTGAATCTAGTTGCAAAAGCGGTAAGATATCAGTCGGGAATGTAATTGACGAATTGATAAGAGACAACGGTTTATGATGTTTTAAGAGAGCGATGGAGTTGCGGATGCAGTTATGCTTCATCTTCGTATTCTGTAATATCAATTCAATTATTTCGAGAAAAGATGCTCGCACGGATAGTATTTTAGCTGGAATTGTTAATGAATTTATGACTGATTCACAGCTTCAACTTATAATCGATCTTGACCTATTTCATTCATTATTTACTGGTGAATCAGAAAGATTTGAGACGAATGTCAAATCCAGCAATGAATCGTATTTGCAGCAACTTCTTGGCTATGTTGAAGAACTGCAGGTTTTCAATTTCTCTAAATTTTTGACCATCTTTGATGCATTCGACCAGCATTAATCATAAAAATAAGGAGTCCGAAACTGATCGACTAATACTTGTAAGGAAATTCCGATGATAATAAGAACGTGGTTAATTAAATTCTTCACTGATTCCATGAGGCGTTTAGCGAATTTCACTTATAAGGCTTATAAGGTGAGACCCTTTGGCTAAAGAAGGACAGATGAATCGTCGGCTCAAAGTAGGAGTCTTTTTTTTGAAATGCATATCGTTCCCAAGCTAGCTCGCGCCTCACCTAAATCCAGTTTACACAGCTTCGTAGCGTTCTTCGTTTCATCATTCTCTTATAAGTAAAGCTTAATATAGGTGGTAATGCCTAAATACTCAGTGGGAAATAATTTTTAGGTCGATTATCCAATTTACAGAGGTATGATGTGTCGATTGGATGCTTAGTGGATGTTTCACATTACTTATGGTCGGCAATAAAGTACGGTCGCTCACTGAAAGAAAATGAACGCTGTTCCAAATGTTTATGCAATGGAACTGATGCCAGAATTCGGCGAGAAAATCAGTGGATTTTTGATGGTCATTGTTTAAAATATTGAGATGATTATGAATTCAGATGACGAATTAAAACAGTTTTGATCGAATTTTTTATTTAGTACTTGATGCAATGGGAAAAGTGCCTGCGGGTATCCTGGATGGGAACAATCTTTGGATTGGCTCTTGGAGTGTGTGTAGAAAGATATCCGTTGTGAAAAATCGTCAAGGGTAAGAAATTTTGTGAATAAGCATCTTTCTTGAAAAGCAATCACGGGATCGACTGTGTTAAATATGTTGGCAAATTTACGGTTTTTAATACATAATGCGAAAGCTGTAATTAGTATAAGAAAATTGGGCAAAACATCTACATCTACGTAACGCAAATATGCATAATTATTTTATATTTTAATAAAATTCTGTTTTTTTGAATAACACATGTTGAAGCCAACGATGGTCAGGACAGTACTGCTTGGCTAGTATTTATCCATTCGAGAAAAACAATCCATTTGTCGCAATGAATGGCAAAAATGAAGGAATTTCAGATTATTGCAGGTAAATTGGTAATCAACTAGACGATATTATAAATAACGACATTATTCTTAGGTCATGTTTGAGTGATTTGATTTGTTTCGAAAATTTGGCCTTTCGATGGAAGTTTATTTGATGTTATCTAATGTGGATTGGAATGAAATGTCCCAAAAATTAAGTTGTGAACAAAATGGTCGAATGGTTTGATACCTTGACTAAAATCGATTATCATGCGTTTTTAGCTCATGTTTTGGCGAAAAAAACCTGAGAAGGCATTTGCACCTCTATGTTCCAAGTAGGTGTTTGGTCTCTGGAAGAATCAGTGGAACCCACCAGAGCACATAATAAGTTTTGTTAGGAGAAGAAACAGAGAAAGATGAAATTAATCTGACAGTAGGAAGTCGATAATAATAATCAAATGATGAAAGTTTCAATAATACAAGATAATTTAAAAGATAATGCATTGGGTGAAGCTGACGACGCACCTTTACTTGTGCCGCCAAGACACTCCCTGGCATATTTGTGCGACTAGCCAGTGGAGCGCGTTTAACCAATAATGGTGCGGGTTCCTCGATAATGTGTGATGGTCACTTGCTTTTTTCGTATTTCTCTTGCAGTAAAAATAATAAAATGATGATAATAATAAATAATAACTGTAATTTTCTAGAAAAAAATACTTTAACAGGTTTTTCCTCATAACGTGAAAAATTTAAGCCAGAAAAATTTCTCGGATTCCATTGAAGCAGACAAAATTGATAAGCAATGTTTCACAATGATTCCTCTCGTAAAATATGGAATTTGTACACCCGATTCATGTACCAATTATGATGTGAAAAAGATCATTGAATTCAGTAAGTACGTCTTCTCACATTTATTCATTTTTACAAACAATTTTGAATTAGCGTAATCGAAGAAAAATTAAACGGTCTGCGAACGAAACAATTGCCAGTTAGCGTTGATATTATGGAACTAAACAAAAATACTACTAATTTTTACGTTACAAGAATATTGCATTAGAACAATTTTTACTAAAAAAATTTAGTTTATCAGTCAGTCGAATCGTTCAGCGAATATAAAATCGTATGTAATGTTGAAATCGAATGTCGAAATAATTTACCACAAAATCAGCTCTCCCACGACAAAAATTCAATCGCTGTTTTGTAAGTCGTTTTTTAAATTCAAAAAAAATTTTTTTGAAATGGCGAATTTAAGATCACCTATTTTTCAGATTCTTTCTAACATTTATTGCTACTTTGATGATAATTGGAACTCTTTATGATTGTACAGTTTATCAAAAGGAGCTTGAAAATTTAACATCAGTAGAAAAATCTGAACAACAGCAGAGTAATCTTCTAATATTCTATATTCTAGCGATAAGTTTTTTAAATTTCCACCGATGCAACAAAAATAAAAATTCCCAAATCATTTTAAGCAGTTATCAGAAGCAATATGAAAATATTTTAAAAAATCTTCTTCTGATAAGTTTAACTAAGTAAAATAACTGAAAAATTAATTCAAGGCTGGTTTGCTGTAATACTTCTGTCGTTCTCAGTTTATACGAATGGTAAGAATATCTTGCTTACTAAAAAACGTGATAAGCAAATTCATTGTTTGCATGGTACTAGAGTTTGCAGTATGTTGTGGATTATACTTGGCCATACTTATTATTATGTTGCTGCAAGCCTTACAATGGGTTCGTCATTATATTATTTGTTTGAAATCTATCTGAAATGGTATTAAAAATGAAGGTACTTTTGTCGAATTTTCCTAAATATTTTTAAATCATTTTTATTCAACATTGTTTGAAACGATTATGGAGGGAGGACAGAGCAACAGCTTCAATTAGCATATTGAGAGGCAAGGGGCAAGGGTCTGATCTCTCTTCAAGTCAAGGATAAACCGTTGAAAATCCTGTGCTGCTGGCGATCCACTAAATGTATAGTGATTCTCTGGCAAAAATTTCCAGCCAGCAGAGCTAAAAATAGAGCGCTAACATTTACTTGCTTAACATTTGAATATGAGCTTGAAGATGGGATTTCTGGAACTATAGAATTTTGAAATAACTGAAAACTGGAAAAAATGGATTTGAAAAGGAATAAAATTGTTTTTAATTGTTTTGTTGCAGATAATCTTCTATCTGCATTAATTAAATTTCCCCAAAAATTCTTTAATCTATTAGTTGTTCAAGCGCCGTTGGCCGTCGATTCATTCTTCTATCTCAGGTTTTTGTTTTATATTTTTTGACATTAAAATATTTAACTTTAATTTCTAATAAATTTTGTTCATTCATTATTTTTGAGTCTGAAAAAAGGATTATAAATTTCAGTGGTATGTTAACTTCTTATCTCTTCCTGGAGAAATTCTCAGTGCAGGCTGCGAAAGGCAAATCTATTTTCTCTATTGATATATGGTCACTTTTTTATATTCATCGATACATACGGTAAAATTTATTTATATATACTGTAAAATATAAAAGTAGTCGAATAATTAACTAACTATAGTTTTTTCCTATTGGTTATTGATAATTAATAATGGCAGTGATAACAAATAATAATAGTAATATTAACAGTTCCTACTTCTTCTTTATCAGTCAAATATTGTTATTAAGTTCAAATAACTTAGTAAATAAAAAATTAGTTGGCTCAGTGGGTTGTTGCTCGATTCCCCGTAGGAGCAAACCTGTACGGGTGACTCACCTGTACTTCTATCGCCAAGGGACTCCGTGGCATATTGCTCAATGCGACATGCGGAGCGAGTTTAACCAGTGATGGTGAGGACTCTTAAGAAGAAGAAGTAAATAAAAGGTTAGAGCTAGAAATTTCTGTTTAGCACTCCATTAGTGCGAATGTCAGATAGCCATTTGGCGATAGACTTAGCCAAATACCTTAGTATTTTAGTTTAGTATTATGTTTTATTTCATTTTATCCCATAATTCTTCGTTGTTCTTCCATTTTTTAGCATTTTTCTGTTTCTTTTTTCATATTTTTAAATATCCTATTAAAGTTTTTCTAACAACTCGCACCACTACTGGCTCTCTTCACTGGCTAATAAGGTAAGAATTTTCCAGTTCTATTAATCCAGTACCATACCTAAAAGCAATTAACGTTGTTTATTTTTCTATCTTCTGAAAAAGTGGCCTAAAACTTTTTGCTTCGGCTCCCTCAATTATGGAGACGCGTACAAGCCATCCGGTCATTAACAAGATTCCATACGATTGCAAATAATCATGATCTTTCGTATATTACAATTGCTATTTCACTTTTCTTGAATCGTACTTGAATCTTGAATCTTAAACTTCTTATCTGAAACATCATTATGTTAGCCAATAGTTCTTGTCTGAAACAAATATAATTATTGCTCTAGACCCAGAATTAGGAAGATTTCCCTCCGACAGGCGGATGACAAGACATTTTTCACAAGACATTTGGATAAAATGCGGATTATTGCAATATCGCCTACATACATAAATATTTTTCCGCACACTGAGTCGAAAACCAGCTAATATAGTTCCAATTCGAGAGCTTATACTTGTACTATTACTGCTTATTCCTTTACCGTCACCGACTCTAGGTTCATGCATTTTTCAGCATTTCTGCATTGGATTAGAGTTGTCAACTGGTAGTTGCTTAACCTACGAATAGAGTTAACGTATAGAATACGAATATGTGGGTCTTTAGCAGATACTCCGATTTGAGCTTCAGTGACAAGTTTACTGCAATCAAACAAACGAAAAAATAAATTTGTAATTATAATTATAAATATTGCAATTATTGCAGTTAGGCGTAGTTGTAAATTCCGTATTCCGTATTATGAAATTATTCCAAAATTTTTGCAAAATTATTCTATTTTAATTTAAATTTTTGCATTTATATTACTGTTAAATTTTAAAAAGAAAAAGATAAGGAAAAACAAAATCGACTAATAAAATGGTACAGATGAAATCACCGGTTTTGAGTGCTCCACTGACGATTAACTAAGACGTCTCCAAGTCTTCTCGAACCAATGTCATTCTGAAAATAAATGAAGCCATTCTTTTTTCCACTGTCTAAATCCGCATATCGCTGGGTCATGTAGTGTTTCGGCCCGGGTCTTGATTGGCCCACCTCATTTTTGATGCCATCCATTACAGGGTTTAGCCAAGTGTTTGTCAATTCCTGTGGTAGGCGATGAAGAACATAGCCAAACCAGTGCAGACGACACTTTGTAACGATATTTTTAATATTGATAATAGAGGAAAGGATGCAACCTGTGGATCCATAAGACTCATTAGAAAAAATGTTCTTAAAGGCATGTAGCTACTTCCGGATATTTTCTACTCTCATTGGTCCAAATTTCGCAATCACATATATCATTTATATTATGCATATTATAGCCAGAGAGAATGCGAATTTTTGTCCTGGGCTGATTTTTTGGCCGTTGTTAAATTTATATAAGCGACAGAGTCTGGTGTTATTAAAGAAAAAAATGTTCGCATTCATTTGAAGGCCAATTTTCGACATCCGCTAGCATCTGTTGCAGCTTTTCGTAACCGTCAGCAAAAAGGTGAAGCATCACGAACATATTCAAGGTCCATGATGGAGTGATTTGTCCACTTTTTGAGTGTCGGCAAGTGGTACCCATAATCCAGTTTATCGTTCAGTTTAAAATTATAGGGGAGATAAGCTTGATACACACCATACGCATTTCAAAAGGCTATAGATGAAATGTTTTTGATAAGTCTGATAAATTTCCCTGGAAGACCAGAGTGTTGCTTAATATGCCAGAGCACCACAGCAGCAATTTTGACATAACGGGTAGGTTATTCAATACAATATTCCAAATGGGAAGAAAACTGGGCAGCATTTGAAGATTTCAGCTTGGAAACGATTTCAGGAGGTTTTAAGCTTGTAAATTATAAAGATTATAAAGATCGCGTTTATGGTTGCAAGTATGTATTATTGGCAAAAAGCTCAATAAAGTGGAGAAGGCACTCTCCGTTATTATAAAAAGTTCCAGCGCTATACTTGTCGGCCATAAAAGATAGTGGGACAGCCTCACATCCTGCGCACGCAATCTACCATGAGTATCAGACTACCACGATTTCGGCATAGATGCTCAGCATAGTACTTAGTACTTAGTACAGCACAGTACTTTATTAAAATCATCAACAGGAGCATAAATTCCTGTTATGTTTCAGATGACAAATTGCAAAACTTGCCTTTAAAACGAGCCAGCTGCAGATTTATTAAGGATTTTATACGATTAAAACTGATTCATGCACTTTTGGGCATGATAATCGCAACTCGATTTCTTCCTGAATCATCTGAAACATCTGAATCGTTATAATAGAATAATGATATCAGTACTAGTACCAGTACCAACGATACAAGTGTTTCTGATCTGAGCCAGGCTATTGCTCTACATCTCGAATTAAGATGGACTTCAGACTGTGGCTATCGCCTGGCTCCATAAGCGTCCTGATGCAGCTATTGCCAAGATCTTGTGAACATAGTGCCAACTGATAATTGTCTTAGGTGGGACAAGGCAATTTCCTCTGCACGCGAACTTACGTGGTAGTTTTTAATATTACATTTAATATTTAATATCCATGTCCAATTGATTTGTCGCAGGTACCACTGGATTAGGGATGTGCGTCGAAATATACGGATGTCGCTTACTTGATTTACCATAGATATAGCACAGGTGGATCTCCAGCAGTTACTCGAATATGACTTTAATGAGGTATACTTCAGACTTAAAAGAATATCATTTAATTATGATAATTATGAAATTATCAATATAGAGAATTTATAAAAATTATAAAGGAATATAACAAAATTATTCTGTTTTTAGAGGGAATTGTTTTTGTAATTCTGACCATTACGAATTTATTGCGATGGAAATATAAAGAACAAATTTTAATTTTAATCCAAAGTGTACGGAAGTAATATTTTTATAAAATTAAAAATTTGAGGACCAGTCTTAATGATATGAATATATTTTTGTAGTATATATTCAGTAATGCCTCCATAACATGGATAATAAAGGACACTGAGGGAAGAAGGGAAGACAAAGTTATGATAAGTCAAAGATGGAGTTATGAAGTAAAACAAAGTAATGGAGACAATTGCTCTTCATCGCCACTAAAGCACCACGGATAACTAAAACCAATAAAAAAAAAAATAATCGCTGAATCTCATAGAATCGAACTCTTCTCATCTAACCTATTTATATCAGTTGATTACCGAAATTTATCGAAGGATTGGTGTTTAAAAGTTGTGGGACTAGGATGTGGGAAGATGAACGAGGACAAGGAACAGCTAAACGGAAATAGTTTGGTCCAGAAATAAAGAACTGTTGATGCATGAATTTATTTATGATAATGATGCGATAATCACTATTTGAATAGATTAAATACTTGGTCGTATTCCAACGCAAAGAATATCGATAAATCGACTGCTCACTACAAAAAGCAATACGCACTAAACTGAAACCAAATTATGCACTAGTTGCATGTAATTACCATGGGGATGATGGATATTGAGCTTAGTGAGGTTGCCAGTTAATACAAATCTCTTCTGCTTGAAGTGTTTTATAGGTTGACACCGATATATCTAATAATAATGATATTGGACGTAACACTGTTCACTTATGTTTCCGATGGTCCTTTTTGGAGGCCGATTGAATCGAATTATTGCCGTCGTAGCTGGTGGACGAATCTCATTTATCTCAACAATTTCTTGCTGCAAGATGTTGAAGTTGTAAGTCTCATCCTAATATTTGGGCTTATGACTTTCGTTATATTTTATTGATACTTAATGAAATCTTGTAAAATTGCACAGATTCTCGGCTTGGCGATTCTTCTTTGGATATTATTTTCTTATGGTTATGGTCGGATAGCATTTTGTTTAGGCTAGTTCGAGCACATGAGTCTGATCGAATCGTTTGGCTAGAGTACACCTGGTTACTAAAGTGGGATCCAGGCAGTGCTAGGAATCCGCATGCACTTTCTATTAGTAAGCTCTGGCGAAAAATGGAATGTTGTAATTAAAAAGACTTAAAAGGCTCACATTATGCAATATTAAAATACTCAAATTAAATTTGGTCATTGCATAAATTATCAGCTTTCACTTACGTCCTTTTTTTGTTTTATGTGAATAATATTATTAAATCAAATTTGATTGTTATTTAGTGGGTTTCCTTGTGACTGAATCTGTTAATTTCTCCCTTAGAGGTAGGATCGCCGAGCTGACTCAGATGAGAGGCGAAGGTTTGGATCCTATCTATCTAACTGGAATGAATCCATCATTAAAATTCAGCTGGTGCTGCCAACCCACGCTTTTGTTTCAAAATGACCCCGTGGCAAAAATTTCTAACCATAGCAGCTAATCTGAATTGGTGAGCATTACCACTTATTACTTACTTATTAGTTTCTCCTTTGATTATAAAAGTTTTTGTTTAGTGCATGGGTTGGACGTGGTATTTAGCGAATGATATGCAGTTCCATCTGTTCGCACCAATACTTCTGATAACTCTTTACAAGTAAGCTTCGTAATTCGTGCATTTTATATTTATACTATTTAAAATGATAATTATAACTAATAATCGATTCAACCTTAAGAAAACCTTGCTTTGCAATAAATCAACAAGAATTTTGGAATTGTTGTTGAAATGACTCTAAAACTATATTTTCTTTTAAATCTAAAAATGATCCCATTAATATAACAATTTAAAATACAACAATCTTATAACAATCTCAAAATATAACGAATCTTTTGGTCTTCTAACTTTTGATTTCTAATAATAGGCCAGCGAATCAATTAGGATTAGGCCTAAATTTTCAGGAATTCTATTTTGTTTCTTCGATTTATCTTCTGATATGCTGGCACTGTAGGCATTTTCTGAATTCACTGAATAGTCTATATCAAACCTCAGCTGTTCCATAAAATCTGCAAAATTTCAGGAATTGTCGAATCGGTATCGCACTGTGTTTTTTACTAATTCTGGGCTCATCAATTATACATCTTATAATCATATTAATAAACGATTATCCGCCAGCGCCGCTTCTTACTTCGAAACTTCAAATGTATCACTTAAATATTTCCACAACACAGTGCTGCATTATAATGCGCCGCTAAGAACGCGAGTGATAACACTTGATTTTAGAGTGCAAAAACTTGAAACCTATTGGCCAGATGTCTACATAAAGCCGTATATTCGATGTACTCCATATATCATGGGAATACTTATTGGATTTGCCTTATATAAATTCACATTAAAGCCGAAATTCCCAAGAGTACGTTTGGATTTCATTTCTCTTTGCTATACGATGGTACATCACAGAGATCCGTCTCGAATTTTCAGTGGAAAATGGCTCTTGGCTGGACTATTTCCATAATATTTGGCCTATATTCGGTTTTCGGACTATATGATTATGCACGAACGGGTGAAATTTCGTCAACGCATCGAATATTGTACACACTTTTCGGTCGAAATGCGTATGTCATAAGTATTGCTTGGATAACTTTTGCTTGTGCAACTGGATATGGAGGTTTCTTTTTTCATATCCTTTTCATTCTGTTTGGAATTATGAAAAGTTCGAGTGTCGTGATTTCTCGTATTTTCTTTGCTATTTTTAGGAATAAAGGAATTCTGAGTCAAAATCTTCCTATGGAACATTTTGTTATAAAAGAAAGCAAATCTTTTTTAGCCTTAATCATAACTGTAAAAATTTATGATTGGCTTAATATGGCGCGACACAAAATTTTTTTCACTTATTAGGCAAATTTTCTCATAAGCAGTTACCGAATCGATATATTTAAGCAAATTTTTTGTATATTCAAAGTAAATTTCTATTCAAATACGTGTGAGTTTCAGGAGCAGTAAATGTGCTTCTAAGTTGGAAGGCATGGATACCACTAAGTCGAATAACATTCTGTGCCTATCTTATACATCCAATACTTTTGCAGATTTATTACTTAAGTCGACCCCATCCATTTCATCTCACTACAGCTTATCAAATGGTACTGAACCATTTTCCATTTTATGAATTGAATTCTTTAATTTTTTAGCCGTTGCGACAATACTCATGTGACCCAATGGTGTATTTTTTTCCTAAACTACAGATACAGTAGTTCGATCGTGATCTTCAATAGGAGCAAGGCTTAATGTAATTAAAGCCCAAATCCCAGACTTGGTTTTGGAGACCCACGTTCTTCTATCACATCCAAATGATTCTGTGGCGAAAAGCTTACACCTATAGTCCATGAAATAAGCCAAAAGTCCAGCAAAAGAAAAAAGCCGCCACCACCACATTGGCATAGATTGACGAGTTCAATTTTGATGTAGACTGAGAGCACGTCGGTCCATTCCATGCATAATAAATGCATGGATTACGTTATATCTACAAATTTCCCTGATGATGTAAAAATTTCGGCATCGATTGCAATAATCGCGAAAAATAAGGCGACAATTTTCTAATGATCCGTTTAGCACAATTTTCAATATTCAAAAAAATATTTATGTTTAAATATGTGTACATTCTCAGTTTATTTTAGATGTATCTGTTTGCTGTTGCGGCTCTAATGGCCTACTTCTCCGGATTCTTTTTAAGTTTAGCATTTGAAGTACCAGTATCGATTAGTGAAAACTTCATTGTCAGTGAATTAATGCATCGACTAGGACGACCATCGTCATTAAGGCCAAGTACCACACCAAATAAACAGCTGCAAAAGACCGAAAATGTTCATCTCATCACAAAAACAGAAACTTGTGGAAAGGATTTAACATTAGAATTAGAACCAAGAGTTGATGGTACTAAAGACAGTTAATAATAAGGGCCAAACATGGAATGTCAATGCAAAATGTTTGTCTAGTAAAGATTGCAGAAACAGGTTATGTATTGAAATTATTCTTAGAAGAACTTGACCTCAGATCAGGTCAAACGACTGCGTTTAAAAGTACCAAAGGCCCTTGTTTGTCCAAAATTTTGATGCTCACTATCACTGTTTAGCATTGTTTGCGCATTTAATCTGCATAAAAATATTAACTAATTGTGTTTTACACACAACCAAGTACGCTCATTCGTATAAAAAATTCTATAAAATGAATAGGCAGAATCACAGAAGGTTTACGACTGATCGACCGCGAAACCACACTTGTTGAGCCGTAATTGATGCAGCTATGGCCACCTTTTGGCAGGAATTATCGGTCAATAAGGCAGCGCATATCGATCATTGTGTTGCGTTGAAATTGGATAGAACGATTAGAGAAGCAGAGAAGGCTATAAGCGCGCCGCAATTCTGCGTCTCTAACTGGTCGTCTATCAATATGAAGTGTTCGGGAGGATTATTTTGATATTTCCGTGTCCACGTTGAGGCTGGCCTGGTTTGGTTGGTACCAGGGGGCGTCGTGTCGTTCTGATCCATTTCATTCGATTTACTTAAAAGTTGGGTTTCTGTTGTTCTGTTGTCAAAGTTTTATTTCTTTTCTTTTCCAGTATTTTTCTTTTACTTCGGTTTTTCCTTTTATGCTACATCTTTTTTGCAAATTTGTTGCAGATGCCGACTCTGTTTTTAAAAAAAATTTCACAACCGTTTTGTTTCTAGGGATTTTTTCATGTTTTTGTTTATTTGTTTATTCGTATGGCGTCTCTTTTGGTTTTCCTGTTCCCTCTCTTTCTTAAAGTTTGGCTTATTGGCCCTTAACCTTTATTTAGAAATCGGGTTGGTTTTTCCATTTTTTGGCCGTAACCCGTTTTTTGCATGATTTGCATCATTCCAACCTGGTAATAAGGAATAGAATAGTCAAGGAATAGTGGTTCTTGAGTTTAGTGTTGAGTATTATCGTGTTGAGAGGTAAGAGTTAGGCTGCTACATCCGGCGAACGTAGATATAAAAGTCCTGGTGGTGCTGGTGATCCACTTGGGTTTTCTCACTTTTGACTCGCTCTGACCAATTGACGAAGATTTCTTTTTTAACCGCACCAACAGCCAGCGAAGTTAGCGAGAGCTGAGAGCCAACCAGTTATCTATGCTAAACGCGCCTTGAATGTTTCATTTTGCCGTTCTTGAATGTTTTTTTTGCTAAATTATAAATCTTTCAAATCTACACATCCTTTAGCTGGAAAATTTTTAAGTAATTATTGAATGGTGCTTCCTAAAATTGGCTTGACCAAGTTAACTTAGTTATATTTTATTCGGATCAAAATTGTCCTCTGATCTCTTTTCATTCTTTCTTTAAGATTCAAAAAATCTTCAAAAAAATGTCTTTTCGTTCTTAAGTCATCTTTCTGAATAGTTTGCATTACATTTTAGTTGAAAATATGGAGTCTCAGCCTTGATTGAAGGACATTTGAAAGATTAAAAATTCAAAATTCATTTTTCATCATCCAAACTTTTGCGAATTTCTAAATGCGATATTTGCGTGGGTCAATAATTTTTTGCTGTTATGCTTTCTACAGTTTTGCTGCAATTGTTAGTAGAAGTGACTTTCATAATATTTAATGATATTTTGAAATTACTGAGTAAAAATGCAGTGGTCGTTATTTTATGTTTACGATTTGTTAAATATTTCAAAATAATTCATATTCAGCGATGGATCGTTTGAATTTTTAGGTATTGTTGATCTCGGAAGAAAATATGGAACGCCGTAAACGAAGATCTCCTGTGGAGGAATATATTGATTCGCTTATGGATTCACCTGAAAAACTTCAGCGTTGTACCAATTTTTATCAAAATTTACGATCTTTTTATAGAAGGAAATGGTGAGTAACATTTTTTATTCGTTTTCTTTTATTGGGATTTTTTTGGCCTTTAATATCAAAATTTAATTGAACTATTTACTTTTTATTTTTTTAATACAGATATTCTTTAAAAATAATAAAAACATTTTTACTTTATTTTTAAAAATAAATTGCCAAAAAGATTTAATTTATTTTTGGGTGCTCTTGCATTGCGCCCTTGTAAAGTTTATTTTTCAATGTAAAAATATTGAAAAAATTCATTTATTAAATTCATTTTTTATGTTGTGATTAAATAAATTTATGATAAAGTGCATTTTTCTTTTTGTAAAATGAACCAACAAATTTTCTTTTATTTTTATCCCCATATTTTAGTTTTATTTTTAAATCATAAATTTTTCTCTAATTATTTTTTCCGGATAGAAGTCTGAAATATTCAATATTTATAATTTTATAATTTTTAAATATTTATAATTTTCGTTTTTTATGATGTTCTTTGTTCTTTCTTCCAGGAATTGTCCATTTAAAGCTCCCTATATCCAAGGAGTTGAAGTAAACCTTTTTCGATTGTATGATACGGTTACTTCTTTTGGAGGTTGGCAAAAGGTTTGTTTAAATGTTTTTTTAAAATAAAAAGAAATAAATTTTTTTTTGCTAGAGATTCAGTATTATAAGGAATTTTAGGTGTCAATGAATGAGAAATGGCGTGATATTGCACAAGCTTTAGGCGTTGCAGAAGGTGTAGCGGTGGCCGAACATGCAGTGAAAGTTTTATATATGAGGTGATTTTATTTGCAAAAAATTTTTCTCCATTTTTCTCCATATTTTTTTCTTAAATTTTTCTACTTATAATTGAATAGCTCAAAAATTCTTGATTGGAAAATTTAATGTTGATGGAAAAAAATTTTTGGTTTTTATGTTGGTTTGTTTTTACTGGGGATTGAACTAAAACTAACAAATTTGATTTGTATTTATTTGTATAACTTAAACGTAATGATTATTTCGATATTTCAGGTATCTCTCAAAGTATGAGCAGATTGAACTGATAGGTGAAGTTGATGATACCGACTCTGATATCATAACATCCCGAGGTCGTAGTAAAGGTTGCTCATCTTTTGCAACAGCTGATTGTCCGATCAGCTTGCTGCATAGGCAGATCAGCGGTTTTTTCTCATTTTTTCTTATTTTCTTTCATCAGAAAATTTAAAATAGCGTATTATTAAGTTAAAAATCTAACAAAATTTCTAAAATTATAGGTAATTATAGGTAGATAATGTTGTAATTACATTTTCCATTCATATATCATTATCATTATTCGATTTTCGATTTGTTGAAAAAATTTTTATTACTATTTATATTAATCTTTCTGCCTTTTTCTTTGCAAAAATTTATTCCATATAGCGCCCTATATAGACATCTATCTGAAAGGATTTTTCTTCTTAGAAGCTTTTATTTGAGGTTAGATTTTTTTAATTTAAGATTATCCTCGACCTTGGTTTGAAAGGAAAGTGGACTCTGATTATGATGGCCTAGTTAAAGGATTACTTTGCGGTTTACCAAATGAGGTTAGTCTGTTAAATAGTTGTCATATTTTTAAAATATTTTCAAAATTTGATTCTGCTTATTCAATTCCTGCATGGTTTTTTATTTTTCATTAGCCGTTAGAATTATGAAAGAAAATAAAAATAAATTTAATTTCGAGTGGTGAATGTAGTTTTTTCTTTAGATGGATAATTATTTCATATGACGATAAAAGGAGGAAAAAAATTACCAAAGAAAATTCAGGTTGATTTTGCTGTTAATATCTGTACATTATTATCTCATCCTGGACCACGCGTTCTTCGACTTTCTGCAGCGCCACAGCTAATGACTTTACTTGTCGCTCATGTAGGGATTTTTCCAGATGGTAATCATTTTTGATCATTTTTTAAACTGAGAAAAGAAATAAAGTTCGATTTTATCATAGATGATGGAGCAATTTATCACTTATACGAAGGTTGGAGAGGCGCATCACATCGTGATTTCATAGCATTTTGGCGGGGAGCAGGTATCACTGATGTGGAAGTACTTTCGTTGATACCTCATGTGACAGTATCCAAAGTTAGTTTGATTTGACGAAATGCTGTTTCTAACACCTCTTTATGTTTATAAGCGTTTGCTTAGTTTGAATTATTTTTTATTTTTATTTTTTATTGCTTTATTTAACAAAATAAAAGTCTTAGTCGTCAAAAAAATATCTTTATTGCCTTCATCAATGAATCCTTTTTATGCAGATATTTTTAATGCAAATTAATTTTTGCCAATTTATTCTTATAGTTTCCGGAAGATGAATTGGATATGTTCACTGGTTTGGAAATGGAATTTGAGCCTAGAAATGTTGTATCCTGGCGAATTCAACAAATTTTGTCCATAATGAGAAATTTATCATTTGAAATTATCAATAAATCGGTGATGGCCTCAAATTGGCCTCTTCTTAAGTAAGTGCTGTTGAATAAAAAATTTTTATATTGAAGGATTTATTACTTTTTCATTAATCGTATGAAAAAATTACAGATTTTTGTTCATATGTTCAAATTGTAAATGGAGTGCTTTACGTGCCGCAGCACTTGATACTTTAAGTAATATAGCGTGTGAAGTAATTTTAATTTTAAAATTTTTCAAATTAAATTAAAAGTTTTCCAGTGAAATTTCTTTCTATTTTTTTCAAAGATTTTTTTATTGTTCCGCTTATTTTTTTCTGATTTATATCAGTTCGATTTTTGCAAGGCCATTAATTAAGTAAATTGTTTGCGAAAGTTAAATTTATAGCTCATGTAAGCTAGAAATTATTTATTTCTAATTAAAATTTATGAATATGTAATGTATGTTTTTTATTGATGCGCTTTCAGATTGATCTAACAAGCGAAGAATTCTCAATGACCAATCATTTATTGTTGAAAACTGTTTCGCAATGCCTTCATTCCTCTGACAAGTTTATGGTGACCTATTATAGTTTTTTTTCTTAAATGCTTTACAGTTGGAGAAAAATACTTGTCTTAGAAAATTATCTTTGGAAATTATCTTTTTATTATAAAAATTTTAATTTATTATTCCAATAAACGATAATATTTTGGGCGAAACATTGTTTTATTATGGGAATTATCTTACATTGTTTTCTTTAGGTGATACGTGCCCTTGAAGTACTTGCGGGATTGTGCAATAATGAATGTAACGAATCTCTTCTTTGTGAATTTCTCAATACTCGTATTCTTGGGAAAATATTTGATGCAATTTGTGTTAAAGATGTTATGATTTGTGTTTATACTTTGGAAGCATTATATCAGGTTGAATTATTAAAAAAATTTCTTCAATTGATTAGATAGTATTGAAGCAATGTGAAAGCTATTTTATTTTTAATTTATCATAGATTTCTGAACTTGGAGCGACAGCTTGTCATCAATTGTCGCATTATCCACATGCAATAAATATGCTTATAAATCTTGCAACTGTTGAAGCTGTATCGTTCGCCCCAACTGGTCTTACAGGAATGAAAGTCGTTGAATTCCATGGGCCGTCTCATACTGCAACATCTCAAAATCATTCTACATCTCACGTAATAAATTTTTTGGCGCCATTCTTATTTTTCTATTGTAGCTTTATTCTTCATTTTTTTTAAACTTTAGGTGACTCGTCCTGCCAGTTTCGTTCCACCATCTAACACTGTTACAAATCAGACTCCTCCAAGAAGTGTTGTAGCTACTCACTCATCACAGTCACGTGCTTTATTACCAACAATTCCTACCATCGGAGATACTAAAGTATTTTTGTGATGACTTGGCATTTTTTTTATTTGTTTTATTTGCCGTTTTTTTACGATTTTTTGTTGTGATTTTATTCAGGTTGAACAACTTACTGCGAAATGGATAAGATTAAATTGTTTATTGGAAGCGGGCAATATCATTCCGCGCGGTGAACTTTATGCATGTTATGTTGAAGATTTGCGTAATAATTATAATGCTTTGTCTGGATCAGTGCAAATGTTTACTAATATTATCAAGTATCATTCTTTTATTGCTGTGAATTTGATAAAATATTTTTTCTTTTATATCACTTGTAATAAATATACCAAGTTGGTTGTATTGGGTACATTTTGGTGCTTATACTAACAGGGATTGCCTGATAGGATCGGTAATTTATCTTTTTTTATTTTATTTTTATTTTTTCAGATGAATTTGATCTATTAGTTAACCTTTTTTTGTGAATTTATGAATTTTTCAGAGCGATTTTTCCAAGTGTTGTTGTACGAGTTGCTCCTAACACGAATTCGATGGTGTTTGAAAATTTAAAATTAATGAAAAGTAATGTACAAAAAAATGCTGCTACTAGTGGTTCGTGTTTTTAAACTTGAATTTTTCCGTGCTGCTAAACGAACTATCTTCCATTATTTACTGTCTACCTATTTTATCGAGCTTTTACCTTAAGTTTTTAAGGATCAAACCTTTTATTTTAGTTGTTGCATATATTAAGGTTTTATTTTTATTTTTCTTTTTTTAAGGTAGAACAAATATTGCTCATAAAACAAGCAGTGCCATAGCAGCTTCTCATCCTGTCATGAAGAAAATGCTCAGTGAAAATAATATGAGCGGTTCAGCTGTGAATGGTCGTTTAACTACTTCACCAGCAGAACAGAAGTATTTTTCACACTTTAATATTCATAAATAATTAAATAGGGCAGTGAAAGCGATGCACTTATATTATTAACAAAAATGAAGAAATAAAAGATAAGCTATATATATCCTAGAGAAATGGTTTTGCGAAGTGATTATTCACCAAATTATCGCCTTTAGCATCATTTCGGATCCTTCATCCGGCAAGAGTAAATTTTCATCGAAAAATGCCTGTGGTGTTGGGAATCTGCCTATTTCAATCCCCATTTAATATTTTTCATCGAAATGCCAGTGGAAGCCTAACTAGAAATAAGGAAAGTCAATATTTTATGTACCACAGAATGGGTAGAACCAAACAATTTCTTTTTCAATTTTCTCTTGCAAATGGAGAACTAGGTTATTAGAAAATTAGTTTTTATTAATAATATTTTCAAGTAGTTAATTGCACGAATGAAATATTCTTTTTATGTAGATTTTGATTTTACTTTGCCATTTATTTTGAAAAACTGACTTCAATTCGTCAAATATTTAGTTGATGCGAATTCCATTTTTAATATATTTTTAGACAGGATATTGGCATCAGTCATTCCAATTCGCCAACAGCAAGTGTTTCTGAAGATATACCTCGACCAAATCCTTTGGTTAATTCTAGCTCTCAGAATTCTACCGTTGAAGTTAATTCTGCTGGCACATCGATGACAGTACCGAGCTCTTTTCCTGTTCCAAACAAGGTAGTATTAGTTTCGCGCTTTTTTTTATATTTCACGTTATGCCTGATTGGTCGATAGTACTGAAGATGTGTATAGTGGAATTATTGTGATCCAGTTGAATCCAGTTGAATGGAGTTCAGCTGGATTGATGCGAATTCCGGTTTTTTGTGATGTTTAGGTTCAATTGGAGGTATGTCGTGCTGCTGTTGAGGCTCGCGATGTTATTTCGGATGACGATCATCATGAAGCGAAAATCGTACGGATAGAAAATACTGGTCTTAAATCGTCTGCAACCACTTCAGAACCAGCTACATCAAATGTTAATAGTAACCCAAAATCATCTGTCGAAATGGTTAACTTTATTACGTATAAAAATATGTGATTTGCTTTCAATAAGTGAACTGTATTCGAAAAAACCTTATCTATTTCCTTCAAAGCCTATCGTAATATTTTGGAAATTATATCCAGTCGTTTATATTATATTAAAATTTGAAATACTTCTTACATTTTTCTTCTTCACCATTCGTCCTTTTAGAACTTCAAATGCTTTGAATAACTTCATCGATACTTATCGATACCGTATCCTCTGATACACTTCAGAATCCGTAGTTTTCCGTATCATCCTATCAAACTTTGCTTTTAATCTTTTGCTATGTTCCATTTATAACATGCTATTTTAGCCCAGTCCCTTGGATACCATTATTTCTTATCGAGTCCTAACTATTATAGCCTTTTGTATCTGAGAAATTCCTTTAATATTTGTGGCATCTGTATTCTATTACAAAAAGCCGCTTCGATGGTGGATTAACCGCCAATAATTGAGAATAGATTCGGCCAGTGCAGCACGTTTCTTCTGGCGAAAATGAGAAAGGTAGAATGGCTCAATGGGTGGTCACTGGATCATTAATGATTAAACGTGTCCTTATAAATATAAGTTCTTGTATCTCATTTATGTTTGTTTGGAAGGATGACTCCATGGAAAAATTTGTCAGATTTGAACGAAGTAGATAGAGCGATAGATTGAGCTTGGAAAAAAATGTTCTTAAATTCGCTTGCATTCCTTCATATCCTTCCCTAATGCACTAATAAATTCATTGGTCCTTTTTGTTTTAACTCGCTTAAAATATATTAATACTTTTTAAATCTCTGCTCACCATTTGATAACATCACCATAATTTCCTCACATTAAATCATGTGATTCATCCGTTCTTTGCTTTACTTTGCTTCTCTAACACTTTATACTTCGCAATACATTTTTGCACTTTTTTCATAATTATCGGTGGAATTTACGAAATTGTAAAGGATATCACAATGACGAAGGTGTTGAAGACCAAAAACTGTGGAGCAATCATTTAGAAATATGTGGATTTAACAACTTTTGACGGATTTCAAGGTTATGAGAATATAACGAGTTTTGAGATTCATTACGCACCAGAATTTAAAAGCACTTTTGTCTGTAACGAGGAAGTATAGTTCAAATATAGTTCGTAATTTCTATTCGTTAGCTTCTTCGTTAAAAAAGTATTGGCACCTTATCGATCACGTTATGCACATCAAAATCGGATAATAAAACCTTTATTTGAAATAAAATTAAATGAAATATGTATACAGCACCATTAATCGCACAAAATAAAAAATATATTAAACAAAAACTACAAAAATAAATAGAACCAAAAGGAAGAGATAAGAGAAACAGCCACTCTTTGATGATTTTGGTCGTCAACGATTTATCGACTGAAATTACTGGTCTTATATAGCCATAACTTGAGGTGGTTTCTGTGATCTTTTCTTAATTGTTGGATTGTTGATCTTTCGTTTCTGGCCTTATGAATCGTGTTTTACATGTTTTGAGCATCCTTCGGATGAATATTTTTTTTGCTTGATTTCATATATTGTGTCTATTAATGTGTATCTGGAGAAAGCCTTTCTATTTTCAGCTCTGTCAAGTTTTCAAGTTTTTTTCAAAATCATTTCTAGTCCCTCTTTTAAATATCATTGTTTATTACGGTTATTAGAGTTGTTTTATCCAATCTCATAGTTTCATCTTTTGATAATACTGCAGTTCTTAATAATTTATCCACTTAATCTTATAATATTTAACTTCTCTGTGGCAGGGGCGCCAAACCGAAATTAAAGAGAGTTGCTCAGGATTCATGGGACATTTTAAGAGTATTAAGAATAGGGAGGGATTTAATGATTTAAGCGAAAATGAGATGTGTGTTAAGGGAAATTCAACTGCTTTTGAATAAATCTGAAGTGATGGCCAGTAATCTTCCAAAGTTAAACGATTTATACGTTAATTCATATGTATACATTCGGAAAAGGCTCAAGATCTATCATCTGTCAGAATTCAGTCTTATCACAATATTCCGTTGTTCCCATTATCCATTAAATGCCATTTTTATTCTCTTAGTTCTGCATTAGTGCTGTATTTTTTCACATCAGAATTCATATGTAACTAAAGTTCAATTTAACTGGTCCTCGATTCCACCTTTTTCCCTATCTTACCTATTTTTTCCCTGTCTTCTTTAATGATTTAAGAACTTGCTCGGAACCTATTATATTTCTTTATGGATAGCCGACTAAGGTCTTTGAGCAACAAGACCTGAGTTTGCTCTTGAGAGAGAAGTCATCAAAGGTGATGTTGTCGGTGCATCTCTTTTTCTATTATCCAAATCCCAATCTCTTCAATCCCCAGTTAAATCTCTTGCATAATTTTCTCAAATTTAGCCAGTGGATCAGATATAGGGAATGCTAATCATTTATTTACTTTTCTTAAACACTTCTCTTCTATGATCTGTTAATGCTTTTTCATTCCTTACTATTTTGCTATATATTCTGTTAGTATCTTTGCCCTGAACCTTCTTTTTTTTTAAGAATCCTCACCATTACTGATTTGACTCGCTTCGCTGGCTTATCAGGGAGTCCAGGGAGTCCTTTGGCGACAAAACTGCAGGTGAGTCGCCACTATCACCCAGATTTTTGAGCAGGCTTACCTCCTGCGGAGAGTGGAACTTTAGCATAGGTACTCCGAATTGAATAACAACTCATTGAGCCATTCTAATCCCCAAAACTTACAAAATGAACTTAAATTTCCTTACATGGTTTTAATTTCTTAGGTACTATAAACTCGCTTAATTGATAAGTCCCTTAGAACATGTTGCAGCATTCCATCTCTTCAGAAACTTTCTCATGCTCATATGCATCAAACTCAGCTTTGTTCTTTTTTTATTCCTTTATCATAATTCTAATTTTATCAGCCTGCTTTACTAACGAAAAAGACGCCTCTATAAAGTCCTAAAATGCAAATAAAGATGTTTTTTTATTGGAATCCTTATCACTTTTCAATGGCCCCATGGCCCGGTCAGCCAATTCCATATTCAGATTCAGAGCCGTATCACTCCAGTAACAATTGCTTTCGAGCTGTGCAGATATTTTTGCATGCTCAAACGTCCGTAGGTAGGATCTTCTAACATGCATGCATTCTGGTGGCATTTTTAGGCCATTGGACTTTTTCTTCCGATACCCAGTTCGTGCGTATCCAAATAAATAAATTTAGCTGATTTTCAGAGATACACCTTTAGTTGGAGCCAATAATTATCGTCCGATGTTTACCTCATTGAGGTTGTTCGATAATTCAATTTGAAATATGAAATCTTACTGTCCCCAAATTTTTTAGTCTGATATATTTGAAAGATTTTGGGAAATTGTTATATTTGAAGTTTATAATTTTTTCTTGAAAAGAATTTTTATTTAAGCCTCGCTTTAAAAGTGCTATAGCAAGGCGATTAAATGGTCAGATTGATGAAAATAATACAAGTGGTTCCAAAGTTAATGGTTGTCGAGCCGAATCAACTAGCCAGAATACAAGTCATTCGATAGAAAAAGTCCATGGAACTAGCCAAGCGAATGAGCCTATAAATGGAACATTGATCTCATCTTCTCACAATGTCGAGGTTGGAGTAAGTTATTCATTATAAGAATAAAATTTTTCATTAGACACTTGGTTAATACTGTTAAAAGAAGAATTTGCCATATGCATCATTTGTTGGGAACAATAGTTAATTTTTGAGTTTACTATTCATTTATATCATATTTTACTATTTATAGGTAGCAAGTACATCATCAGCAGTTCATCGAGCTACTGAGAAAGTTAATCTATTTATACAAGAATCATCTAATAGCCGATGCGTTGAGAACGACACTGCAGTTCAGTCGACGTCAACTGATAATTCCCATACACCACCGAAACGGAAACGGCGTTTCTCGTCAAGTAATGAAATGAATTATGGAGAATTTCTATGTGAGTGGAATGGTTGTGGAAGGTGAAATTTTTTTCTCTTTCCATTCGTTTTTACAGTGGATAATAATTGTATATACAAAATCATATCGTAATCATATTTGACGAAAGCAGGATGTCAATATTTCAGACTTTTCGCTAGTGTCCCATCGATACTTGATCACTGCGCAAAAGTTCATGTGTCAGATGAAAAAGAATCAATACAGTGCCATTGGCCCAGATGTGATTCAACGATTCGAAAGAGATGGTCGATGATTACTCATTTGCAAGACCACCATTGTAATGAAGTCGCATTGAAAAATGCGGCTCAGCGTAGGCGAGAAGGTTTCTTTCTCATAAATAAACTCTTTGTTTATTCTGCCATAATTTACCCATAATTTTCTTCTACTTATGGTACTTTTAAAAGCAAAATATAATTAAAAATAAGTTTAAAAAACTAACAAACAAATCGCATAATATCATTCAAGATTCCAGTCTCATAATTTTTTATATCTTTTTAGGATTGGGCATGCCTTTAGGGCCTGTAAATCCTGATCGTCCTCAAGAAATTACGCTTCAATTTTCAAATAATGCAGCCTTTGAAGCCATAAAGCGACATGCATTTAATTATTTGCCCAAAGATTTCTTGGTATGGTTTACATTTCTTTTAATTTACGAATTTACGGTTTAATAAATGAAATCAAAAATCCATATCAAAATTTTACTTTGATATTTTTATTTTTTTGCTCTGGTGGTTCGTTATCTGGGTATCCGTTGGCCATTAGAATAAGACGATTCTAAACCTGTCGATCCTATTTTTGAGATGAGTCACTTTTTCCACCATCTAAGCTTATAATATATCGGTAAGCCCATAAATGTGCTGCTTATATTTTCAAAAATTTCTTGGTCCCGGGTCTTATTTTGGGTTCTTGTCTCCATTTACCATAAACTTTCACAGTTGGCGATATGTACATTAAATTTCTGTAATTTGGGCATGATTAGCATAGGCAACGCTTTTTGATGATGACATCGACACATATGAAAAGTAATGGACGCAGCTATGTGTAAGGTTTTGTCAGATTTACATTAGGAAGAAATTGTTAAGGAATATGGCTAATTTTTTAATATCATTCACTCCTTTCAGCGCTTTTTTTTGCAACCGCTTAATTGAATTGTGTTGCAACTAGATAGAAATTCCTTTTTGATGCTGATTTCGTAGTGATTTAAGATTTCGTCATACTGAAGAGCATTTCTTTTCTCAACCATCCTAGCTGGCAGCATTCCGCTTGACCTTGTAGCGCAAAAGATACTGAAAATCTTTATCGTGAAAATCGGTATTTCAGATTTCAAACGCTGGTGAATTTATAAAAATGGCTATTTTGTTTTCTTTTTTTAACAGTCCACTCAATTACCAATCGGCTCTCTCTTTTGGCGAATGTAAAAATACATTTCGAAGCTCCTGATCCAAAATTATGCTTGAAATTAACTTGAAAACAAAGCCGATCTTTTTTCCATCACTTAAGTTCCTATATCTCTGGGCGCTTGGAATCTTTGGTCGTTTTTATTCAGGTCTTGATTGGTTCTCCATATTTTTGTCGCCATCATAAGGTTTGACGTATACTTCTTGTGATGAGTGACGAATAACCAGTTTAGGCAATATATAGAAATGATGGGCTTAATAGTATTTGAGATGCAACCATGTGAAATCTTATCCGCACAATGAATATGCGTCATATACCAAAGGTAGACAGAAATAGGCGGTTCTCTCATATTTTTCACTCCTACTGTTCTTCTCAGTCATAAAAAAAATTTTTTCCTAAAAATAGCCATTCATTGATCACCTTTCGAATTCTGGTTTCTGAAAAGAAAAAACAGTAGTTTTCGACTCTTGTCTTACATTAGCTTTTTTGCATATTCGAAGCCACATTTTTTTTTGTTGCATGATTTCGCTATAGTTGCTTTGCCTCCTGAGAAGTGGTTCTTCCCTTTTCCCTTCCCTATTTGTTCGCTTCCCATTGGCACCATTTGTTTTTATAATGTCTTTTATTTAATTTTTAGGATGAAGCTGAAGGTCCAGTTACGAAAAGTATTCGATTGACTAGTTGCCTTATTATGAGGAATTTGGCCAGGTATTCCAGCGAAGGGCGGAGGTGATTTTTTAAAATAAATATAGTTAATAAAAAATTTTGTCAATGGAAATAATATTATTTAATCATTTCTCGTTTTTATTCTAGTTAGATTTTTTTTTCAGAATTCTTCGTCGTCATGAGCGTTTACTTAGTTGGTTATCACTTTCTCGATTTGAAAGCAGTTCTGCTACTGCTCAACTATTAGCTGAGCTCCATTGTTCGTCAACATCTTCATGACCTTTAATACTATGAGTTTTAACAAATTTTTGCCTTTAATAATTCCTAATATCTAATACCTGGTTTATTTCACTTTTGATGCTTAAAAGCTCGAAATAATCTGCCAGCTGTAAATTTTATATACATTTTTTAAAGTAATATATATAATTAATTGGTGGGTGGATGAGAAAAATCTCACTTTTTATAATTTTAGTTTCTGAGATGAGAAATTTATATAGAATATCATACTAAAGATGTAAATAATATATGGTAATGATAATTTTGTAGCGTTATTGTATTGTATTTATGGGTTTCCTATCTAATCGTAAATTTTTTGTGTACAAATGGTCTATATCATATTATTTTGCGACATCTTCGTTTTGTTTTTTTTTTTTTGAAGTTGAACTTTTGTTATATATTATAAGCAAAATTAATTGTAATATATCTATTCGTTGATTAACTATTGCATTATGATTACAGCAAGTTGTTTACCGCCAGCTATCGTTTATGGCATTTGATATTTGAGTAGGAGGTAAATTTAAAAAAAGATTAAGGCTTCGCTAACTTGGGAAATTTTTGATTCCGGAAAACTTCATCTTTCAACCTAATGGTTTGTTGTGGTCATTGTGCAAAGTGCGGTTGCATATCGATATTTGTCTGGTCTTCTCATTTTTATGGGTTTCTTCCTTTTCATTCGCAAGTTTAGTTCGGATAAATTTTTGAGAATTGTTTGTTTCAGAACAGTGAAATTGGATAACTTCCATTCTATAATTTTACGTAGATTTAATTGCACTTTTTTGCCTTAAAAAAACGATAATTAATCAGTTTTATTTTAAATTATTAAATAGTTTATGACAATTTAGTTTAAAAATTCCTATCCAATAGTAAATTGTTGAACACTGATGAAACATGACGAAACATTTGGTATAAACATTTGGTAAAGTATTATGACGCGAAGAGGATGTCACTTGTTTCTGAAACTTGTTATGCTGTCACTAATCAGAATTTTGTGACTTTGAATGTATGCAGTTGTGCCAAATTTCGTGCCATAAAAGTCGTTTTATGAAGGAAATTCAGACGAAAGTGTGGTTAAATATGGCGTATGGCATAGAATATTATGGAAATTATATCTTTCAGTTTTGTGGGTAATTTAACGAATTCATTCGATGTCTAAAACACGTGTCTGCTATTATTACCACCCAGATGTTGGCAAATTTCATTACGGTCCTCGGCATCCAATGAAGCCTCAACGATTGGCAGCTTTGCATAGTCTCGTTGTGAATTACAATTTACATGAAGAAATGCGTGTAATCGTTCCATCGCGGGCCTCTGCCATTGAAGTTGAACGTTTCCATTCCAAGTAATTTCGATTTATAATTTTGCATTTTTAATTTGTGCAATTGCTGACCACTTTATAGCCAATTTTATGAAAACGAGCGTGCTAAATTAGTATTTATAACGAATGTGCTTACCTTGAAAAATATCGGAGTTTATAAAGCATAAATAATATATTTGTGCAAGGGAATATATCGAGTTTCTTCAACGCATATCTCCTCGCACTGCAAGCCAATATGAGCATCTTTTTCCGAAGTTCAATATTGGTGAAGATTGTCCGGTATTCGATGGAATTTTCGAATTTTGTTCTCTATATACCGGTGCTACTTTAAGCGGTTCGTCTGAAATTTTTCATCTAACACAATTTTAGAAATCTGCTATTGGCTTGTCTTGTATTTCAAATTGGAGAAATTAAAATGAATTTTTAAAGCTATTGTTTGACAAAATATTAAATGTTATCAATTTTAATTATTTGGTCTTTCATTTATTACTATCTGATTTTCGGCATTATTTCAGCTGCAACTCTTCTCAATCATGGATTAACCGATATAGCCATTAATTGGAGTGGTGGCTTACACCATGCCAAGAAACGAGAAGCTTCAGGATTTTGTTACGTCAATGATATTGTGATCGGTATTCTGGAACTTCTCAAGTACCATCCTCGAGTGATGTATATTGATATCGATATTCATCACGGTGATGGTGTGCAAGTAATTAATTTCTAGGTTATCGTTTCTGATTATACGAGCTTTGCCATTTTATTTCAATAAAAAACGTAGATAAATTCGAAATTTATTTTGCTTTTTATACTATTTTTAGGAAGCATTTTATTTAACTGATAGAGTAATGACTGTGTCTTTTCACAAGTATGGCGGAGGTTTTTTCCCCGCAACAGGAGATATGTATGAAATTGGTCAAGGTTATGGTCGTTACTTCGCAGTTAATGTACCTATGTGTCAAGGAATGGATGATGAAAGTAATTTTTTGTTTTTTCTTGGCTTCTTTTGCGACAAGGATATTATTTGATATTTTTCAAAATAAGTTTTTATTTTTATATAATACAACATAATAGCCTAATATTTTTCTTCTTCTTATGAATATATTGCTGGATATTTTAAACTGGATTTTTCTGTTGGTCATTTTAAAATATTCTATTTAAATCTTTTTTCAGACTATCATTCGTTATTTAAACCGATCATTAGCACTGCAGTTGAATGTTACAAGCCGACAGCAATTGTTCTTCAGTGTGGTGCTGATTCTTTGGGTTGTGATCGTTTGGGATGTTTTAATCTGAGTTTCTCTGGGCATGGGTAGGTTTTATTCAATAATTTATGAATTTATTGAATTAAGCCTTGCTTCGATTTTTTTTTCTTGTTTGTCATTCTTTTTCTTTTCTTATTTTATTGTATTGTAGAAATACATTTTTTTCTAAATAAGTACAATTTTTTCTTTTGTATTATCCAATGTATCATGAATTAAACCTTTAAAGCTGAAATTATTTAAGAGAATGTGTGAATTTCGTTAAAAATTTGGGTATTCCAATGCTAGTTGTTGGTGGAGGAGGTTACACTCTCCGTAACGTTGCTAGATGTTGGGCATATGAAACTGCTATCCTTGTTGGAAAACCTGATATTAGCGACGATATACCAGTCACTACAGGTTTCTGCAGTGTCTTATTTTTCGAAAATTTTTTTCTTATTACTACGATTTCATTTCTAATTTCCGGAGTTCCATAAAATTCTTTTTCAGAATACTTTAATTTTTTCGCTCCTGAATTTAAATTGAAACCAGAGTTGGCGAAGAAATTAGATAACCAAAACTCAAAGGAGGTGTTTACTTCATTAAGCTTTTTTCTTCATTAATCAATTGCTGTATTTTTCTTAATCATTTTAAGGAGTTAGTTCTCAGGGTAGTTCTGAAACGACTAATGGTTCAGAAATTTCACAGATATTTCCTTTTATACGAAAAGTTTTGATGATAATCTGTATCAATATCTATTTGGCGTAGTTTTTGTTACTAATGTGTATAGACAAATCCAGATTTAAATCGTCTAAAAATCTAAATATTCATTTTCAGTCATCAAACCCTAGTTTTAATTTTTTTTAGTACATCACTGCAATAAAACAAGATACACTAGAGCGACTACGGCAGATTCGTAATGCCCCGGCGGTTCAGATGTTTCCTATTCCAGATGATATTTTTGATGCGCAGACTGTATGAGTTAATACCTGCATATTTTTTAATTTATGACATTTCGTTTTTTGCAAAACCGTTTAATAATAAAGACAGAAAGGTTGCCGTAAATTTGAGAAAAAATTCAATTGGTTGTTGTGAAATATTCTTAAAGATTAAAATTTGGAATTAATATTGAATTCCTTTAGTCTTTTCCAGCTGTTTTTATTCTTTCTTGCTGTTATTAAGATTTTTTTTGGCATTCCTTTGGCTCTTTCCATTTTATTGTATTTAGGAATTTATGTTCCAAAATGTGTTATCTGAAGCACTAGCAGAACGACGAGAACGTTGCAATGTAACAACAAATATGGATGAAATGGTATCAAATGCTTTGGCCAATCATTCGGAATTACGATTGTCCGATGAAGAAAATGTGTCACCGAATGTATAATATCTTATTAATTTCTTAAAGATGCATGTTATCTGGGAAGTTTTTTCTGATTTTCATATTTTGTTCATATTTGGACTTGTCTAAGCTGGTTCTATGTTGAAAAAATCGGCTGATATTTCTCGAATTTTCCAAGGTTTTTTTCTGAAATTGACTGTAATTGTTTTTTATCATTCAGTAACCGATATATCTAATCCTCATTACATGACAGGAAATTGGCAGAGAGTTGTTGAAACTCATAGTTCCAGAACGCAGTCCACTAAATTAAACAGTGAGGAACGATGATCTTCTACACTCTATCCGGAAAGAACTTGCGGTTTATAACTTGTTTATTTGGAAAGGGATCTTGTATTATGAGATCCAACCAGACGACTAGCCAAATCCGTAATTGCGCGAATTATAAAAAGCGGCGAAAACTGTCTTACGAGAAAGACGTCAGTCCTGCAAGATAGTCAGCTGGACACTTCTTTCACTGCATCTCCTTAATTATGCGAAAAAAATTGGCTTGGCTGTGTTATCCTGTCCATTATATTCTTGACCACCTTCAAGCTCTCTGTTTTGCTGTTTGCAAAATTCCAGTAGCAAAAAATTTATTTCGATTCTTTAGAAGACCTCGCAAATTACCTTCATTTGATAGTTTGACATCTTCATATTAACTGAAAGATGGCAACGAAATATGGAGCAATTTCTTTTGTTTTATATTTTTATATTTTGTTATAGTGTATTTGATTTTAAAAAATGTTGGTTGAATTTTTTATCAAATATATTTTGTTTGAGGCGATATTTTTTGAGGACTCTTAGGCGCGATTGGAATATTTTAAAATATCTTTTTTTTATTTCATTTTCATCAATAAGTTTTTCTTCAGCTTTTGGTGGCTCCGATACATAAAATTCTTTAATTCAACAAGATGTTACAGTGATGTGAAGCTATAAACGCAATGAATTAAAGGCAGGAATTTCAGAGACAAGTTCAAAAAAAAAAATAGCGAAGTTTGCAAAGCTTGAAAAATTCTAAGAAACTTAAGAGAACCCGAGCTAATTGAATAATTACTAATTAAAAATAAGGACTGCCAAGTACACAAATGAATTATCGAGAAATGTTGTTCACCACATCATCAGACTTGTGCAGTGCTCTTGTCCGATTTTTTTTTCTTCGGTTAGCACTTGTTGCTATCTTCTTTCCTTAAGTTGTTTCAGCAATTAAACGAGAATTATTTAGAAAATTAACTGCTGTTTAAATTCAAATCTAAATCTTTTTCGCTCTTTGCGAGAAAATTTTCTGAAACATTTTTGTAATTTTAATTGGGGTTTTTGGATTCTGTCGTCGTTTAAGGTAATGTTATTCTCATTTTATATATTGGAACAGTTCCTTTTTTGCAAAAAATCAACCAAGCAACAAAATGAATATATAAAGCAAGAGAAAATAACTTGTTTTATTTGTCTAATAAGAATATATTTATAAGCTAAGTAAAAGTAATGAAATTGTGTATGAAATGAATGAAATACTGAGTTCTGTTCCATGCAAATCAAATTTTCTTCTGGCTAAAAGAATTTTAAATTTAAATTTTTAAAAAAACTCGCTTTAAACGAAATGTATTTGCCTGGAAAAATGAACTAATCATTAGAGATTTATCATCTGAAATAAAACTTCAATTTGAGATCACGCCTTGAGAATTATAAAATTACAAGCAAAAGTGGAGATGCAAATTAAATTGAAATGGCCAGAAATGTAGAAGTCAATTCGTAGTTAGTATATCAGTGGTAATGAAGCAGTAATAGGAAAATTGGTAAGGACGATTATAATGGGAATAATGATAACAAAAATAATAATAATGAGAATCATTTACAAATTAATAAAAGGAATAATCAAAATGGAAAAACAAATTTCTTCATCAGAAGCATCGATTTAATCTACGCCAAATTTACAAAATAAACTAAAAGAAAGAAAATTTCAAAGCTTAGGAAGCAAATGAAACTAAGAAGTAAGATAAATTATTGCACAGAAAATATTTTATCATAAATATTTTTATAAAAATAAAAATACTGAATATATGAAAGAAAAGCCCTAAATATATGATTATGATGATACCCGTTTGTACCAGCAAAGTTTTTATTCGAAGCAGATAAAAGAAAACGTTCTAATTATCACAGTATTATTACTAGACTACTAGTTCTATTTAAAAACAAAAAGATTTTGATGGATTGATAAAACCTATATATATTTGCAAAACTGTCCCACTTTCCATCAGCAAATTATGGTAATAAATTCTTTGGTAACGTTCTTTTAAGGCAATCTTTTAGTTTTAAAAGCAAACTTATTAATATCCATCAAAATATCAAAAGTTGATATCTCAATTCAAAATTTTTGTTCCGTTCCTAAATAATTTTCATATTATTATTGTTCCACTTATTATTGTTCCAATATTACCTTTTTTCGAAAAGCACCATAACGGTGAGGCTCAGTCGAGCTAGATAAATTTTGTCAGGGAATGGCGACAGAAGTGTAGAGTAAGCACCGCCCGAATTGTTAAACAGGTTTATTTCTCAATGTTTTAATGTTTTAAACTGGGTAACAATTGTATAATTCTAATCTGGTAAGATGACTGATACTAAGAATCGAGACTGATTCAGATTCGAATCTCGCTAACATATCATATCGGGCATCAGGCAGTGTCGCCGAATGACGAAGGCAGAAGAAAGGCTCAGTGGGCTGCTGTTCAATTCGGAACAATCTGGAACAATCTGGAACACAGATGCTAAAGTTTCATGCTCGCAGTATTAAATTCCGTAACCTTTCAAAATCTGAATATTGTAATCCTAAAATCTGACTGATGACTCATGTGAGTATTTCCTCCTCTTGTGAGTCTAACCAGCAATAGTCGACGACCTTTGAAAAAAATAATATATGAAAAAAAATGTGTTAACAAAAATAATGTTGGTGTATTATTATATATATATATATACAAGAAAAAATAAAATGATGTGAGAATGTGAGAAATGAAAGAAAAAATAAAATATGCCGAAATGAGCCAACCAATAAACCTGCCATAAAAAATTGTAGTGACCACATTTTTACTGCAAACACTTGCGAATAGAATTATTAGGAGTTGGTGATCTAAAATAAAGTTACAATTCATAAATTCAAAAACTATAAACTTCTCGATTGTAATAATTAAAAACACACAGTTCAATAATAATAGCTGAAATGAATAAAAACTTAAAAAAATAAAAGAGTATTATATTACCTTAGAGGTGAATGGAATATATCTTCTTGCCGAGCCAAAGGGCTAACTGCAATATGCTGATTGCTGGCCAAAGGGCTAACAGGCATTGGAACAACCATATTTTTAAGTTGACCACGTTGATCTACGACCACTTTATGCTTTAGCCCCTTAATTATTTTGAAATTAAAACGGAAAGGAAAAACGAAATTTTACGTAATTCTTTTTATTAACAAGCATTATATTTGAATTAAAGAATAAATAGAACTTGAAGAGTGGAAGGACGATTAGTAGCCAGTGGTGACTGACAAAGATTATGATTATCTTCTATATGCACATCAACATCTGATAATCGCTTTGGACACACTTGATTGTTCGAACAAGAAAGAGATGTTTGGGAGATAAATGGAGCTGTTGAGCTACAATTCCAGCATTTATCATTTATCATGTATGACTGCTAAAATTTTCTGCAGAATATGCAACCAAAATATCAAAATGCAATTATTTTAACCACCTATGCTCAAACAAATTTACTTTTCAAAATTGATTGATTAGTTCGCTTCACTCACTCGATCAATTAATTATTCATGAATCTCATGAAATGTTCATGAATACCAAATTTATTCTAAAATACCTTTCTTAAATTCGCTAAATACATTCGTGAAACAAAATACAACTAGATTATTTTACGCAAAATATAAAAAATTCGCTATTTGCTAACTCACTTTGATTGTATACTATCAAGACTGGAAACTGATCTTGGCATAAAGGCTTGTTTTTGTGATGAACTGCCTGGTACAATATCATTATTAATTCTTTTTCCACTGAACCTCCTCAATAAAGAAGTTTTACGAGTCTTTTTCTCAAGAGGTAGCCGTCTTTGTGGCCTTCTTGGTTTCTTTTTAACCAATTTACCGACGGAATGCCTTGCTGCTCCTTCGCGGAAAGATGTACAACAAAAAGGAATAATCTACAAATTCGGTGATTTTTTATCAATATTTTGGAATAGTTACAAATTTCTAATTTTTTAAATACCTTTAAAGAAAGTTCATTTCCGCACGCAATCATACGATGTATCAATTGAGGATTAGTAAAGTTTGAAACGGGCTGAGACTGAACGTGAGTTATCAGATCATTTAAACGAAGACCGGCTTTATAAGCAGGAGATTCTTCATCTACTGAGGCGATAACATGTTCGATTTTGTAATATTCAGATTTTTCACTCAAATAAATTCGTATTGAACGGACGGTAAATCCAAATCCGTTTGGCCCCTTCCTAAAAAGTGAAATTTAAAAAACAATATTAGGTAAAGAACGGAATAAGGTAGTATTTCTTTACCACGTTTACGCTAAAATAATTAACAGAACTATAGCAAAAAGTAAAAACTTGATGATCAGAGGTGTTCTAAGAGACGATATTCGAGATGATGTGGAATGATCGCCAATAACTTTTGAAATAACCAGCTGGTTTTGGGAAAGACCGTCAATGGATGAAGTGCTTGATACAGAGCCACCAGGCGATAATTGACAATGCGATGTAGATTGCGCAGCAGTTGGAAAAGTCGAATGATTATCAGATGACAAACGTTTTGAGTCCGTGTTATGTAGAACGCCGGATAAATAATTACTCAAATTAGTCGACTAAAATTTATTTTGATTCTTTATGAATGAATATTATACTCAATTAACAATAATCACATTGAAACATAATATTTATAATTTATTTATAATTTATAATTCATTCTGATAAATGAAGGAAAAAATCAATGAATTGAATTTTTTTCATAAATTGATGGATTCTTCAATATCAATTAATTAAGTTTGCCTTTCCTATAATAAAAAAAACTGAATTATTGACAAGAATTAAGTAATAAAACCTTTTTGGAAGCAACAATTTTAGCTTCTTCAACAGGTGACAACTCTTTTTTTTCTAGCATTGAACCTGTTTCTTCCGGTTCGCAAGATATAGCGAACCTCAAAAATTATTATGGCTTGTAGTAAAAATTAAAGATACAACAATTAAGCAGTTAAGGACTGAGACTACTATAAACTCCAAAAAAATTATGAAAGAATTTGACGACCAAATCACTTGAAGAATTTGAAGAGTAAATAACTTTAAAAAATTTCTTTTCTGTTGAATTTCTGAAAATTTTCTATTGAAAATTTTCCAAAACTACACAATTTATAAGTTAAAATGATAGAAATCTCACCGTGGCAATGGTGATGTGACATTTTTACGACAATTTTCCGATAATGGAGGATGAGTTGGAAGATCTGAATAATAAGAAGCGTCCATTGAAGAATCGGTAGAAGAACACTGTGTGTTGAAATGAGTACCAGTGGTTCCACTGCTCGAAGATGAAGGATTATTCCTCTGAGCTGAAAAACGGCGCCGCAGTAAAAGAGCCTGAAACATTTTAAACACGAATTTGGAACTAAAATAAACTGTACAGAAATGATTCGAACAAATTCTTTTTTTAGTTGTAGTTGCCATAATTTTTTTCAAACAGCCTTGAAAATCAAAACCAATATAAACTTACAGAGGAAACTGAAAAATCCTTAACAGAAGTATCAATATCAGTTTTCGAATATGCTATGTTATCGACTTCAAGCTGAAAAAACTTCATATTTCCATGAATCAAAAACGAAAATTATCTAAATTACCGAAACTTCAATGCCATTTGAATTTAAATAGTATAAAAAATATGGAATAAAAAAATAAGCGCAAAAACAAAATAATTCGGCAAGGAATCATATGCATCTGCAAATTTTGCAACTTACAGGCTGAATGCGATGATCATGCAATGATTCTATACCAACGACCGAATGTCTTGGCGAAGCCGTATTAAAAGAACCAAACATAGGAGTACTGTCGTCATCACCACTTTCAGCATCATGATTGTATCTATTTAAATATCTATCATGTATATAGGTGTTGAAAAATAAAATCATAACAATAAATAATAAAAATAAACAATAAATATAATGGGAAAAAATCAAAAGTGATATCATTAGTTACAACAGATTTAAAACGAATAAAAATTATTTTGGATAAAGACCAACCTATCCGATCGTGTATCAAAATATGACGTATCGTCCTCATTTTCTAGTTGTGGAATAAATTCAGCTTTTTCCCGCAAAATCAAATTGAAATTCAGAACCGAAAAAAAACTTTCTATCATCAGCTAAAAAAAGATGACTAAAATTAACCAAATGACAAAAATAATCTGCAAATAAAATCGGAACATTTGACTTTTGATTTTTTTCAAAATATCTACCAATACCTCTTGTGCGCCAGTAGTTGAACCCAATCTTTCTATCGGATTCTTTTGTAATAGATGATTTATCAGTGATTCAGCGTCAGGAGGCAATGCTTCATCTTCCCTGGGAAATTCAACTTCATCTAAATTGCCATAGTTTCATGAAAATTTTTTTTGTATAACGGAATAAACATTGCTAAAAATATTTTCTCACCATTGATAATATTAGAAAACAGTTCATCAGGTGTATCGCCGACAAATGGAACAATTCCAATCAAAAATTCATATAAAATTATTCCCAGTGCCCACCAATCTACAGGTTTGCCTAAAAATGAACATTTAAATAGATTAAATTATAAATTTATAAATTTCTCACAGATTCAACTTAAAAAATTTCTTGAAAAAAAATAAATTTTGAATTCAGTATTCTCTAATGGCACCTTTAGCCGGAAATTTTATAAAAATTTTAATTTAATAAATGAAAATAAAAATAATGCGTTTCAAAAAACATATTTGGGAAATCTACCATATCCTTGACGAAGTATAACTTCTGGAGCAATATATTCAGGTGTTCCGCAAAGCTGTTTATCTTTAAATTGCTGCATGTTAGCTAAGTCCATGTAACCTTCACAAAGAATAGTTGTTCGATTCATTAGACCGATTTTAGATAAACCAAAATCTGTTAATTTAATATGACCCATGGCAGTTATCAATAAACTAAAAAAAAAAAAGCATTAAGCAACCAAAAACGTCTTATATATAGTTTATAAATAAGTTTATATATTAATTATTAAAACTTTTTTCGATATTTAACCTAACTGCAGAATCCTGATTTTACAGAAATTAAAACGTACTTATCAGGCTTGAGATCTCGATGCACAATGCCATTTGAATGAAGATAATCAATAGCAAGAACTGTTTCAGCAATATACAATCGTGCGATATCAATTGGCAAAGCGCCTACACTTTTCAATAATGCAGCACAATCGCCACCTTCCACATATTCCATTAACATACACAAATGGGTACGAGTTTCAAAAGATCCATAAAATGACACCACAAAGGGATTATCAGCGAAAGTTAAAATATCTCTCTCTGCATACACCTAAAAAACTTTTAAGTATTTTAAAAGATTGGAAAAATGTGATAAAATAATTCCTTCGATTAAAATATCATAAATTTTTAAAAAATAATTATTAGAAAATTTAAACTTTTAGTAACAACACTAAAATAAATAAATAAATATTTAAATAAGCGTTTAATTCCCAATATATTTTAAATTATGATTCTATTATGAGTAATATACTGGTATAATGCAAAAACGCGAAAACTTGAAGAAGAACGCCATGGTACAATGCGGCTTTCAAATGCAGCTTTAAATTAAGCTTTAACTTTTTTAACGAATGCCAGCTAAGGAGTTAACTGTAATTCGCAATCTTTATGGCTTTATTTTTACAGTGCCTTTTAAATAGATTATAAACAAATAATATGCAAATTAAAGCGAAATCCACTGTACACTTTCTGAACAGCTATTCAAAACAAAATTTTCCACGTTTTAGTTAATATATCAAATGATAAGAAGTACCTGTTCGACTTGATTACGCATGATTAAAGTCTGTTTGTTCATTTTCTTCATAGCGAATCGTTCTCGAGTTTCCCTATGTCTGACAAGATAAACTGCTCCATATGCACCATTGCTCACTAGCTGAAACATAATAAATTAACTCTGAAAAAATTATGCAAACTATGTTAATAATTTTCGAAAAAAATTGATTTATTCAATTAGTCTGATTTATTCAATTAGTCCCACTAACACCTTCGAAAAATCTTCTTTAAAGGATAAGAAATGAAATAATTTTTCGAATAATAAAAAATTTAACAAAAAAGAATAGAAATCCTAGAATTCACCCGAATCGTTTCATAATCATCTTCACAAGGAGGTTTATCAAGGTGAAGTGAAGGCCGAAGGGAATTAACAGTACTTTCGAAAGATGAATCCATTGCTGCGGGGATTTCAATCTGCAAATCCGATATCAAACTGAGAAAATATACAAATCATTTTCCAACATTTTAAATAAATAAGAAATAAATAAGTAAATAACAAATAAGACTTTACATCTAAGACGTCGGCTGTGGTTAGTAAATTGTCTTTGTTTAAGCCTAGTTTAGTAAGGATATACTGAGGCAAATCCGGAATTCGAACATTTGATGCACCTAACTGCTCACGAACTTCACCTTCAGTATTCTCCAACATGTGATAAAATTCATCTGGATTAAATTCCTAAAAATTTCTTTTATATTTATATTCTTTGACATATGTAATTTTAAATTCTCTAATATTTTCGATAAAATAAATATTTAGAAAGTGGGGAAAATTAAATACGAACCAAACATTCCAAAAGACGAGCAGTACGCGAGATAATCATCAAAAGGTTTCGCACTAATTTCAACAAATATTCCCCACCCTCTATAGATGCTTTTTCATTAGCATCCGATAATGCTTGTTCCAGACGTTGAGATACATCATAAAAATATAACCCACTTATATGACCTTCGCGTGATTTTGTTAAGCAATCTGCAAAAGCATTAGAAAATAGAAATATGAAAAAATGGACATGCACAATTTTTTGCGTGCAAAAAAATTCCAACCAGAAGCTATTTCAACAATCTGATGATGAATGAATCGAGTTGCACCATCAGATAAGCACTGCAGTGGACAAAAATCAAACGCCCTTTCATTGGCAGACGAAGAAACAAAACATGGTGAAGGAGGAAAAGATTGAATTTGAATTGACTGAGGAATTGAGGAATTTGGTACTGATGAAAGCGGACTAAATGATGAAGTTCCAGAAAGTGGAGCATTTTCCTCGAGAAATTGCTGTAGTCTATCTTCCATCTGTTTTTTTGCCTAAAACAAAATAATCAGTACAAAAAGGATAATCCAGAAATCAATATGACAAAAACAAAAGATCAAAAAATCTCTTAGAGCTATAATCTAACAATTTTCAAAATTATATTTAAATTATATTTTATATTTTTATAATTTTTTTCTATACATGGAAAAAATGCAACGGTGCCCTTTTAGAATAAAAAAACATTCCGTTATACGCCAGAAAAATATTTCGGCAATATCTTAACCAGTCTCACATATTCCACTAATACTGCAAAAGCTGATGTATAGCCTTTTTTTCTTTTTTGTAATGAATATGAAGTGGTATCAAATATCATAAGCATAAATTAAATTAAATTAAAAAGATTTCAACACTGAGATGAAATTATATGCGAAGTATGCATATATGAAAAAACTTACAAACCTTTGGAAAACGTTCACTGAAAATGACATTTCTATTAGCCAGAGTGGTATGAAAATCGATATCAATTTTAGAATGACTTCTAAAATATTTGTAATAAATATTTTGAAAAAAATTTCAATCGAAAATGGTCATTAAAATTATATCATATTACTATAAAATTTTTTTGAATAAAATGAAAGACAGACAGCTAACCAAATATATTATTCATAAATACAAAAAGACAAATGAAACTGATTATTAAACATACGTCAGACTACACGAACGCTGCCGCCCATATGATAAAGGAGGCTCATATGTTAAAGGATACACATCAGTACTATCAAATCTTGGCACCACATTTAAATCATTCAACATTTCGGTAAGATGTTCTTGCGACGAATAATCACTCGAAAATGCTGAAATACTTTCCGGAGTACCACAACCACTTGAAGAAGGAAGAGAAGCTATAGACCATCGTCTAACATCAGAAGCTGCCAATGAAGTTCCTGCTCGACTTCTAAATAGGAATAAAATGGTGAAATTTTTTAAAATTATTGAAATATTACATTTTTCAGACCACAGCACAATAGGCTTCCAGGTTAAAAACAGCAAATTTCATCGGAAATTTAGAGTCGATGGACCAATGACACGACATGATTTACTGCTAACTCATTAGTTATTATTATTATTAATTCTTTAATATTTTAACGCTTTTTTCCATGAAAAATTCAATATTTTGAGAAAGAAAAAATAAAAATAATTTAGAATAATTATTATGGTATTTCTTCTTCAAGAATATTGAAGGAATGGAAAAAAACAAAAATTTAACTAAAGAAGATTTTTGCTCTGCTCAACAAAATGATTTAAATGAAATTAAGCAAAATTTTAAAAACCTTGAAAGAAACCCAGGGCGGAAATTTTTATTTTTTATCAAACTATAGCAAGGTGGCAAGTGAACTGGCGAACACCGAGTTACATGATGAGAAGCATTGAGACTTCGTCGAGCTGGTTCCATGCGTTGAACAATAGATGATATGCGATTAGGCTTGAATATTCAATTAATGTGATCAAATACAAGAATATTCATAAAATTTTTTCTGATATCGAAAAAAATGAATCCACAACAAAATACTGCGTTAAATAATTGGAGAAAACTGAAGAGAAATACTGATTTTGTATAAAAAATGGCGATCAAAAAAAGTTAACCCGTAGATGAATGTTCGACCCACTAAATAGATATGTTTGTGAATGAAATGAAGATGAGATCTGAGGATCTGAATGACCAAGATATGAATTTTTCATGCGCTGAAGATTTCCCGCGCAACTGACTCCAGTTGATTCAACTGAAAATTAACTTTACTTTTCCACATTTATTCGCGGCATGGAACTAATATGAAAACTTTAATTTTAATATGAAGAAAAAATTTAATAAGAAAAAATACCAACCACAAAAATTGCATGTTGCCAATACATTAGATGGATGACGCCGTTTTAATCTGCGACCAGAAAGATGTAGTATATTATGACTATCGAATGATTCAGAATCACTTTTGCATGAATTCTGGGAAGTAATTTCTCGCTGTGAGATGGCTTTCGAAACACCCATTTGATCTACAATTTTAAAGCAGATCGATTTCAATGAAAATTAATTATATTTGAAATAAAAATAAAAAAACCTGAATGACTATCTAAAAAGCGGGATTATTGGGTTTAGAAATGAAAGTTTTATGATCTCATTTATTTCAATAATTTTTTAAGAATTGCATAAAAGAATTATTTAACGTTGTATTACATATTTTGAAGCTTCTTCTTTAATCAATTCTTGATGTAATTTGCACTTTTTTATCCCTTAAAATATCAAGATAGGAATTTGGAAATTCCAAAGTTAATTCCATAAATTTATTCGGCACCATAAATGGAACAACACGTTTGAGATCATGAATGGTTTCAAAAACTCTGTCGTGGTGAATTCAGCTTTGCAAATAGGAAGGTACTGGGCGTCTTTTTATCAAAAAATTGTTAAGTTTGTTTCTTTTGCGCAAAAAAAACAATTTATTCCTTGATCGTATGGCGATATACGATGAAGTGTCGAAAAGGCTTTTTTCAAGATTTTTCAAGAAAAAATTTTTCATTCCAATTGTCTAATATTCATTTTAATTTTTTTGAGAAGAAAAAGGAATATTACGTCGGTTGAAGGTAATTTTATTAGTATAATGAGTTCTCAGAATTTCAACTGACAATAATCAGAACCTTAAAAGGAAAAAAGAGAAACCGATAAGCACCCATATCACATCAAAGATGACCACAGAAAAAGCAAATCCATTGTAATTATTCGGCAATTTAATAAAATAAAGAAAAAAACTATAAAAACGAACAGGAGCCGATATACTTCCTTAATATACTTGATAAAATTCAGATATTTATATAACTGATCTTACTGGAATGGTGATTAAACAAAAACTGAAGCACCACGTCACGAATTCCTTTTCTTTTTTAGAAATATTATTTGTCGTTAAACTGACCGCTAGAGTATGAATCACCTCAGATAAGTAATTGGTTACTGGACAAAAATCGAATCCATGATACTTGCTCGAATAACCTTTCATAAACTATCATTATAGGTAAAGAAATCTATGCCATCCTCCTACTATCAAACGATGGAACACCTAAAATGTATCTCATATTGTAACCAATGAAAAAATTGTACAAAATACTGTTCATTAGTTCAAAAGGTTAAAAGCCCAAAATTCAATAAATAAGAAAAAAACATTTTTTTTTTTCAAATAAAAATATCGTTTAGCGTTTAGTTTAGCGAAAAAAGAAAGAAATCAAAAAAAACAAACCCTAAAGGAATATGGAGCGAAATACTAATGGGAATAATATTTCAAAGAAAAAAGAGTCAAGTGTGCCAAAATAGAAAAGAAAATGGAAAAAATTTAAAAAATAAAATTTAAATTTTAAAACAATTAAAAACACAAAACACATAAAACCTTTTTTTTTCTAATAGAAGATCATTTTTGATTTGAACAATTTTAATGACTATTAGGATAACAAAGGAATGATTCCAAAAAGGATGGAAGGCATCGCAATTTGGGAAAAAAAAATATGCCAAAAATAAACTTAATTAACCGAATTCATGATTAGGAGCAATCAAAATTTTTCTAGAAGAAAATACGACAGAACTATTAAAATTACATTGAAATTTTTTTTAAAGGCTTATAGGGCGTTATAGTCCCAAAGAAATGCCTTTTAAGCCATTTTTTATTAAGTCATATTTTTCTAAACTGACATTTCAAACCAACATCACTTTAAACAAAAGGAAAATAAAAATAAAGCTTTAAATTTTTTATCAATAAAATTAATTCAAATAAGGAAACTCAATTAAAAAGATTGGAAAAAACTAAATGAATATTATGAAAAGAATGAAACAAAAATAAAAACAAACTAGAATGAAATATTTGCTTCTTTCGACTTTGTAATGCACTACCAATAAGTTCCGATTCGCTATCGGATATTGCCAATTTATTTGATAACGAATACTGCGATGATATGGACCGAAGTGGTCGATACATAACTGGTGATAAACTCACTGGCATTCCCGATCCCGTTTTGTTAGGCATACCCTTAAAAAAGAGACAAATTTAATAAAATTTTTACTGCTTTTTTTTTCTTCTGCACTCAAGCAAACGCAAAAACCATTCTTTTCCTTTAGCTCAAATGAATATCAATGACATCTCTGGAACAACGGATGAATACTGGTTCCAGCTAAAATCTCGGAAAGCCAATCATTTCCATATTAAGATATATTAACAGGAAATATAGTTGAAGCAACTGTCCAACTGACCGAAAAAGCTAATAAAGAATGAATGTCAGGATTTCCTAGTTATTGGATATTTCAAGGAAACAGAACGGCAGTAGCACTGCGGAAAAGAAATCGCTACTGAAACGATAAGGATGATCTAACGATAAACGATATTGAAAATGAATTGATTGCTCGATTAGACAATAACAGAAAAATTATTCTGCCTTCTTCATAAAGCAACAATAACAGTTAGTGAGATGATATGGGGTGGAAACAATACGCCTGTTAAGGCTATTAAGGATCACCTCATAAGGTGAAATCCTTTGAGACCAAGCTTAACTATGATATGCCATATGTTATCATAATAGAGCTGAATGGTCACATACTTGCAACTGTGTGAGTGGCCAGCAGATCACTGAATAATGTCTGCATGAGGCCAATAAAACTCCTGGAGAAGATAGTCTTCGGGCAAAACTTTTCAAATATTGTCTATCGTCCTTTACATCACACGTTCAACAAATGTTCTCTGCTATGACAAAATAATATGACTGGAACAAAGCAATTTTCTCAATTCCAAAGAAAGATGACAAGATACAATTACCAAAGAATCAACCTACTAGATATCTCCAGAAAATTTTTTGCTTCCCTTCTACTCAGTAGGCTTATTACTGTACAAAATGTACCCTAACCAAGCTGTTAACAAAAAATGTTAAAAAGGATGTTGGAACATCGCTTTAAATATCGGCAATGCACCATCATTTATTTCATCGATTTTGCAGCTGCTTTCGACTCAATTGATAGAACAGCACTCTGGACGATGAAGGAATGTGATCGACTAAAAAAAAATCATTCGACTTATAAAGGCATCTTACCAGCATACACTTGCACCGCTTTGTGTACATGGAAAAGACGCTTTTAAAAAAAAACTGGTGTCCGTCAAGGCTGTCAAGGCTTTCTTTCAATAAGGCTGTTTTCTACAGTCAACTATAAACTGAACTGGATGAACTGGATAAGGGATATCTATTGTCGACATTCAAGAGATGTACAAATCAACCCAGAGCATCATATATCACAGATCTTGAATACAGTCCTTTGTGCTAGTTATGAATTTCGCTAGTTAAATGCAGATAATGTTAAACAATGTATCGACAACTTCAGCGAGAAACTAATTCACGGTCAATATGAATAAAACGAAAGTCTTTTCGCCTTATATACAAGAAGCTGATAAAATGCCTTTTTTTATAAATTTAGATTGAGGGAGCGGCCGATTTGCAATACTTTGGATCCAGTCTAATACACTCGAATGGCCAGACAAAAGAGGATATTAAAACCCGGATTATGACAGCTAGAAATGCGTTTGACGAAACCTTCATGGAGCCGTTGTGAAATCACCAACGAAACTTCGCACCTAAATAGCTGCGATTTGTTCGAGCTAGATAAATGGATGCGAAACATGGCCGATAGAGTGAAGGATATTAAAATGTTTTCCTCTGACCACTCATGTTTAGGATATTTTACTGGGTCGTCGAGTGAATCTCATATGATTACATCCACCTTCGGTCAAATACCACTTGCAATCACAGATCGTCGCTTTCGCTGATTAGGCACGTCGCCACCCCAGGGGTTGACATGTATTTCGCTACTTATTAGAGCCTGATGGATGGTGTTATGAGCGAGGTGGGCCAATAAAGAACTA